CTGATGAGCTATTTGTCCCTTAATGTCCTTCCTCACACCTATTTCCTTTTCCTCCAATGCTGTTGGTGCTATGTTTGTAGTCTTTCTCCAAGCAGATGTAAATACCTGTTTTTTTTTGGTGCATTAGGGGACTCTGAAGTCCATGAAATCATAGTTTTAGGTGTTTGCTCCATAGTACTTCAGTCTTTAGAAAACAGAGCAGAGAGAGAGAGAGAGAGACAGACAGGCAGACAGAGACAGAGAGAGACAGAGAGAAACAAAGAGACAGAGACAGAAGAAGAGAAAGAGAAAGAGTCTATGTGTGAGTGAAAGTATTTATAACCTAAGTGTCTATACTAAGGTCAATTTTTACTTTTATGCTTTTATTAAAACAATAAATTTAATACAGGATGTGTTTTCCCCACCCCTCCCTGACATGATTTAACTTGTTCAAAGTTTCTGTTTTAAATTGTGGATCAAAATATGTCTCAATAGACTCATTAAACTATCTCATAATATATATGTATATTATCTATATGTATAATTTATTTTGTGGTAGTACTGGGTCTTGAACTCAGGGCCTCTTGTCATTTTTGCTCACATCTAGCTTTCTAGTAGTAGAGCCATGCTTGTAGTTCCTGCTTTTGCAGATTAATTGGTGATAAAGAGTTGGGGGGATATGTCTGCCTTGGCTGGCAAACCCCAATTCTCAAATCTCAGACTCCTGAGTAGCCAGGATTATAGGTATGAGCCGTCACTGCCTGGCTCTTTTATGTTGTTTTGACTGAATCTTCTCCTTCCTTTCCAAGGCTAAACCAGTGAGTGGGATATGATGGCTGATTCTTACAGAAATGGACAGAGATTGGCTTCAGAGTTGGGGAGTAGCTGTAGTTTGTGATAGTATACTTTTTTCCATATTCGAACCACACTTATATATGCATCTGTATGTGTCTGTATGTGGGGGGGGGGGGGGCAGAGGAGAAGGAGACCAGGAAGGGAGAGGTGAGCAATGATGAGAAAAAGAACTTAGATTTTGTGAATGCAAGAACAGCACAATGGTAGAGTACTTGTCTAGCATGCACAAGGCTGTGGTTTGATCCTCACTATCCCACTAAAAAATCAGCTTAAGGGTAAATCTCTTGATTAATTATAATTAAAATTACCTAGAGTTGAGGAATACTTCTTACATTGTTTCAAGTTATATCAAGTGGTAATTGTGGAAAGAATGGATTATAAGTAAAGACTGAGCATATTTATGATTCCATGAGGCTGTCATTATTGATCACTTAATCTGAAGCATAAGAATTTTCTGTTACTTTAGGTTGAAGACTCAAAAGTAGAGGAAGCCTGACCTGTACTAGTTGATTGAAATAAAGTATCTAAGTTGATATCATTGTATATAGTCAAGGCATATTATTATTTAGGAAAAATTTTGATCTTATCCTTAGTTATTACCTAAAATTCTGATTTCTACTTTAAAGTAATCACTTTAAGAATAGGCAACTTGAATGTTTAAATAAAATCACATTTTCCACAGACAAGATGGACTCCTTCCTGTTTCTACTTGCTGGTTAGTCATAGTGGGATTTGTTTGGCTTTTATGAATGCTATTAAATTTTAATGTACAGATCAGATGTTTTATTGCAGAAAAAAATGGTGCAGTGTCTGTTCTGGCCCTATCATTTTACCACACAAGGGAACCATTAGTGGAAAATCAATTTGATTCCTCCCAACTTTTTCCATTTGAGTTTTTTTTTTCAGTTTCCTTTCTCCATAATGATTATTCCTAGCATTTTTTTTGAACTGAAAAACTTCCATAGTAACTGGGTCCTTGCTAATAGATGTAGCACTGGAGTTCTATGATGATATGTTTGCTTGCCATAATTTTGTCAGGATTTGCCTCTGTGAGGTGAAAATGTTGTGAGGAAACTCAGTTGGGAGAAACAGAGAAGCCACCACTAAGAGGCCAAATTATGAATCCTTATTGGAGAGCCAGAGGACTGCTGGTGGTCTCTTGTCACAAAGACCAACAGCAGCAAATGCAGTTAGCACAAAGTTTATATAGGCCAAAACTACATAAGGTGTGAGGAATTAAACCTGACAGTTGAGGACACTTAAGCCTAATAGAAGTGTTAAATAAAAGCAAACCATGTAGGAAAACAAATCAGGGGAAAATCAAGGGCCACTTATCTAGGGGAAGCACAGTCCCAGTCTCCTTACTTCAAAAATTAATTCAACAAGGGGCTGGGAAGGTGGCTCAGTGGTAGAGCACTTGCCTTGCATGCATGAGGCCCTGGGTTCGATTCCTCAGCACCACATAAGCAGAAAAAAAAAAAGCTGGAAGTGGCATTGTGGCTCAAGTGGTAGAGTGCTAGCCTTGAGCTGAAGAGCTGAGGGACAGCGCCCAGGCCCAGAGTCCAGGCCCCACGACCAGACGCCCCAAAAAACCAAAACAAAACAAAAATTAATTCAACAAATAGCTTTGAGCATTTATTTTGTGTCAGTCATTGTGTTCTCTGCGAATATTAAGTAACAACATAGAAGGGATTCCATTTTTGTATGTGAGAATGTGCTGGTAATGTGGCACCTCATTTTCTTTTCTTTTCTTTCTTTCTTTTGTTTTTTGGTCAGTTGTGGGGCCTGATCTCTAGGCCTGGGCACTGCCTTCAGCTCTTCAGTTCAAGGTTTGTGCTCTACCACTTGAGCCACACACCACTTCTGGCTTTTTCTGCTTACATGGTGCTGAAGAATTGAACCCAGGGCCTCATGCATGCAAGGCTCTAGCACTAAGCCACCTTCCCAGCCCCTACCTTGTTCTCTTTTGACTTTTTTTTTTTTTGCTGGTCCTGGGGCTTGAACTGTGGGACTGGGTGCTGCCCCTGAGCTTTTGTGCTCAAGGCTAGCACTTTATCACTTGAAGTTCCACTTTGAGCCTTTGCTGATAATTGGAGGTAAGAGTTTCATGGACTTCCCTGCTTGGGGTTGCTTTGAACCACAATACTCAGATCTCGCCCTCTTGAATAGCTAGGATTACAGGTGTGAGCCATTGGTGTCCTCTCCTTTTGATTTCTTTGCTAAAGGCAGTGTTTAGGATTGAGCTCAACATTTCATATTTGCTAGGCAGGTGTTTATACCCTTAGCTTCCTGTTACTCTTTTTTTTTTTTTTTAGTAGTTATGAGATACAGCTCTATTTTCTTCTGGTTTATATTGTTTCCAGTGAGTAGTCTGCTGAAATTCTTACCTTTGATCTTCTTTATAGAAGGGTTACATTTTTCTGGATGTTTTATTTTTGTTTGTTTCAAATATTTTTCTCTTTATTGTTGCTTTTAAGTAACTTCATTATGATTTGCCTAATTCAGTTCTTTTTTTGCTAGCATACATTAGTTGTGTAAGAAAGGTTTTACTGTATTATTTGCACATATTTATAGTATATTCTGATCAACCTAATCCTATTGTTTTCTCTCATCCCATTCCCACTTCTTAAAATAATTTCAGCAGGTTTCATTTTTCTATTTTTGTACACATAAATAAGCACTCATCTTTTTTCGCACTCATCTTTTTTTTTTTTTTTTTTTGTCGGTTGTGGGGCTTGAACTCTGGGGCTGGGTGCTTTCCCTGTGCTCTTCAGCTCAAGGCGAGCACTCTACCACTTGAGCCACAGCACCACTTCTGGTTTTCTAGTGGTTTATTGGAGATAAGAGTCTCACAGAATTTCCTGCCCGGGCTGGCTTTGAATCGTGATCCTCAGATCTCAGCCTCCTGAGTAGCTAGGATTACAGGTGTGAGCCGCCAGCACCCAGCTCAGCATTCATCTTTTTAATGCAGTTTTCTTGATGTTTTTATGCTTGGCTTTATAAATTTAATCAAACTTGGACAAATTTTATAATTATTTCTTTAAATACTTCTCCTTGTCTCTGTCATCTTCTCTCCTTTGGGGACTTCAATTACACAGACATTAGTTTCCTTGGGGTCATCTCATAATTCACTGATCCTATTACTTATTTATTTATTTATTTGGCTGTACAGGAGCTTGAGCTCAGGAACTCATACTCCCTCAGCTTGCTTGCTTGCTTGGCCCTCTAGAACTTGAGCCATATGCCCAACTTGTCTTTTGGTGATTATTTTGGAGTTGAAGATTCATGCGCATTTTCCTTAGTTGTTCTCCACCTACAATCCACCAGACCTCAGCTTCCTGAGTAGTTAAGATTACAGGTGTGAGCTATCAGTGCTCAAGCTAAATAAAAATAAAAGGTCCCAAGTGTATTCTTTCTTTTTTTTTTGGCCGGTGGTGGGGCTTGAACTCTGGGCTTGAGCACTGTCCCTGTGCTCTTCAGCTCAAGGTGAGCTCTACCGCTTGAGCCACAGCGCCATTTCCAGTTTTCTAGTGGTTTATTGGAGATAAGAGTCTCACGGACTTTCCTGCCCGGGCGGGCTTCAAACCCATATCCTCAGATCTCAGCCTCCTGAGTAGCTAGGATTACAGGCATGAGCCACTGGCGCCCAGATTGTATCCTTTTCTTTTTTTTTGTGGTGGTTGTTGCCAGTAGCAACCATAAAATGTTATTCACAAGCTTAGTGCACCAAACAAATAAAGGAATGTACTGTTACAAATGGCAGATTTTAAAATCTGAAAACTTACATGTTAGCTGGGTGCTGGTGGCTCACAGCTATAATCCTGGCTACTCATAAAGCTGAGATCTGAGGATTATGGTTTGAAGGCAGCCTGGGCAGAAAAGGACCCGTGAAGCTCTTACCTCCAATTAACAACTCAGAAAAACAGAAGTAGCTCTGTGGATCAAGTGGTAGAGCATAAAGAGGGTCAGGAACAGTGCCTAGGCCCTGAGTTCAAGCCCCACAACCAACAAAACAACAATAACAACAAAAAACTTATGTAAAATTATCAGTTGTTTTTGTCTGGTTTCCATGTTAGAAAAAAATGTGAATTTACATTCTTTGCATTTGCATATGATGTTTTTTTTTATTTGGCTCAGCCTGAGAGTTGACTGTTTTCCTCCCCCAGGGTCGAGAATGCTTGCACCAAGCTTGTTCAGGCAGCGCAGATGCTTCAGTCAGACCCTTACTCAGTGCCTGCTCGAGATTATCTCATCGATGGGTCAAGGGGCATCCTTTCTGGCACATCAGACCTGCTTCTTACCTTTGATGAGGCTGAGGTAGGCCACCTGAGTCCCATGCAGACATCTCCTATACCAAAAAAAAAAAGGCATTTTTTTAAAGATATTGGAACATTGAATGATTATTTAGGATGACAAAAGTATTAAAGAGCTAAGCATGGTCATATTTGCGATGTGTTGTGCATTCATTTGAACCCTGAATTCTTATTTTTAGGTTCGGAAAATCATTCGTGTTTGCAAAGGCATCTTGGAATATCTTACAGTGGCAGAGGTAGTGGAGACTATGGAAGATTTGGTCACTTATACAAAGAATCTTGGGCCAGGTTTGTCATATCCAGCTTTTATAACACAACTTGTAATGATTTGTCAGTGTGGGATCTCTAAATTGTGCAAAAGATAGATGATACTTTTGGGTGTCTCTATCAATGGAACTGACCCTGGGCTTCTGCTGAGATGTCATTCTCTCTGCAATCTGAATTTGCTTTGTACAAATCCTGGCCCTGGCAAATGAATTACACCAGACATTGAAAATACTGCTGGAGAATGTAGAAAATACTTTTCGATTACTGTAATGCTGAAGGCCACCCTCAATCCTGACCTCTCTCTTCCACATTACACAGCATTCCTTCAGTGTCTGCCAGCTGGCTCTTTATGACTTCTTAGCTTGCTAATTAGCCTGCCTACTATTATGGATTTATGCCTAGCCCAAGGCTGCATAATATAATCAGACCTGGAAGGATAGAGAGCTGTTGTGGTTAAATTTCATTTGGAGATAATTATTTAGGCATCTGAATATTGAATATTCAAAATACACAGGAGATTCCAGCTTCTGATCTTATAGAGTTATAACATGACCTTGAGTGTCCTCAAAGCAAACTAGACCAACAGAATAAATATACTAGGCATTTAACTTGAGGTTTATCATGAAGTATTTTTTTTATGTGAAATTTTGACTTTTACATAACAGTATTTCTTTTTCTAATTAACTTATATACGGATGGGAGGAGGGGTTGATTTCATTTTTACCTTTCCATATGTTTACAATATATTCCACTCAATCTCATCCCCTCTGTCACTCTCCCTGCCTTAACAATACATTTATGAGGGTTCAGTGTAGTTGATTATAAAGTTAATAAATCTCATTACTAGAATGGCTTTCTTTGATGTCTGCAGTGGTATACTTTTTGTATATGTTTGTTGGGGATTGAACCCAGGCATTCTGCATGTTAGTCAAGTGTAATACTACTGAGCTACACCCCCAGCTGTGATCCAAACACTTCAAAATTTCTCATAGCACTGGAAAAAATTAATTTCCCAAATGGAATTTTGCTGGCAGAATTCCAACACATAAAAACAAAATGAAGCTACTCTTTGTGAAGAAGCAGCCCCACATCAAACCAAGCCTTTAGTCTTAATGTTCTGTGGGAAAAAACTAAGAAATTCTAGGAGCAATTTGAAAAATCAGAACTTTAGAAAGTCATGTAGGACCTTTGAATAATTACCAAAGTAAACAAAAAGTGCTAGCAGATTGATTCCAACATACCAGATGCTTGCATATACTACCGTTACTGTAATTATTTTTTTTAAAATAATACTTCTACTTGTTTCTAATTTTAAATGCAGTTTAGCTAATTTTGGGCCAAATTTGGACCGCAGAGAAAAAAATAAAGATATAAATAAAGAACATCACTGCCATTCTTAGAACTGTTTTCAGTGTTGGCATTCAGTACTGAGCTCACACAAGAGTGCAGAGCAGGCAGAAGTGTTGCATGAAACCTGTATGCATAGTAGCCTGGCAAAATATTTTCCCCCACTTGTGAATTAATTTTTTCCCAAATATATATTAAAATTGTTTTTAAAAAGTATTTATCAGTATATATATATATATATATATATATACATACATATATACATATACATATATATATACACACATATAAGTCAGCTGTGAAAGCTACTTAATGGGGTTTTTAATGAATTACTTTTGGGTCCGGTCGTGGGGCCTGAACTCTGGGCCTGGGCGCTGTCTCTCAGCTCTTCAGCTCAAGGCTAGCGCTCTACCACTTGAGCCACAGCGCCAGTTCCAGCTTTTTTTTTCTTTTTGCTTATGTGGTGCTGAGGAATTGAACCCAGGGCCTCAGGCATGCAAGCAAGCGCTCTACCACTGAGCCACCTTCCCAGCCCTTAATGAATTACTTTTGAAAAGAATAAAATTGTATATAATGGTTTAGTGAGACTGTTTGTTGTTTAAATACATAGACAGTCAGTTTGGCCTTTTTCCTACTAATTCATCCTCATCCTGTGTATCCTTGGTCCAGGAATGACTAAGATGGCCAAGATGATTGATGAGAGACAGCAGGAGCTGACTCACCAGGAGCATCGAGTGATGCTGGTGAACTCGATGAATACTGTGAAAGAGTTGCTTCCAGTTCTCATTTCAGGTATTTCCTCTTCCTATTGATGGGGGAAGGTAGTATGTTTTAAACTCGGAGGTTCATTTTCTTTTGCTGCTTTTACTAGAGCTCTACCACTTTGAGCCACAGTTCTATTTCCGGTTTTCTGGTGGTTAATTGGAGATAAGACTCTCATGGATTTTCCTGGATTGACTTTGAGTCATGATCCTCAGATCTCAGCCTCCTGAGTCATTAGGACTACAGTGCCAGGCTAGATGCGTTATTTTTACCAGGGGGGAAGATGACATCTGTTGACTGAATGTTAAATGTTGGCTGTTGGCTAAGAGACCAGGATTCATCTTCTCTAATGCTGTCCTTCTCCCTCTGCTCATTTAACTAGCAAAAGGGATTTGTACTTGTGAAGTGTCAGTATGTGCCAGCAACCATGTGAATTTCTTTTTGGTGCCAGTACTGGGACTTGAACTCAGGTCGTTGGTGCTATCCCTTAGCTTTTTTCACTCAAGGCTGGATGGTGCTCTACCTCTTGAGCCATAGCTCCATTTCTGGCTTTATTTTTTGCCAGTCCTGGGGCTTGAATTCAGGGCTCTGTCCTGAGTGTCTCTGTGATCAAGGCCACTTCTGGCTTTTTCTGAATAGTTTACTGGAGATAAGAGTCTCACAGACTTCGGCTTTAAACCATGATCTTTAGATCTCTGCCTTCTGAGTAGCTAGGATTATAGGCATGAGTCACCTTGGTGCCCAGCTCATTTCTAGCCTTTTGCTGGTTAATTGGAGATAAGAGTCTCATGGATTTTGCTGCTCATGCTAGCTTTGAACCACAATCTTCAGATTTCATCTAGGATCTAGGTGAGAGCCCCCAGTGCCTGCCCCATGTGAATATTATACAACAAAATAAAAATCCAAACTTAGTTTCCAATTTTCTGATTGTTTTTTATAGCTATGAAGATTTTTGTAACAACTAAAAACTCAAAAAACCAAGGAATAGAAGAAGCTTTGAAAAATCGCAATTTTACTGTAGAAAAGATGAGTGCTGAAATTAATGAGATCATTCGTGTCTTACAACTCACTTCTTGGGATGAAGATGCCTGGGCCAGCAAGGTTGGTGTTACCATGGATGAGGTATACGAAAAGAATGCCAAGTTTTCTCCTCCTGGGGATTTTGATTATCCCCTGTCTCACATTTTTATCTTGTAATTGTAGCATAAGAGTACTCCAATTGTGAAAGTACTTTTTTCTTTTGTTTCCTGGGTTACTTGCTAGCTTTGTGAATTTTCTTTTTTCCAAGGAAAACAGTAAGCATGGTTGAATATTGATAGGAGACTGAGGTACTCTGTATCCTTTTCTTCCTGTTAGATTCTCATTGGCGGGGCTATTGGAGGATGTCTAGTGTGCATACTGACTCCTCTGGGTGGGATTTTTGCTTTTTATGTAGGTAGTTGATTCTAGGTCACTAAGATACTAAATAAGCCCAGAGAAATAATAGAGGAAACAGCATTTCTAGCTGTGTTTTTGATTATTCTATTTTCCTGAAGAAATGATTATTTAAAATATTAGTCTTCACATTTTCGAGTTAGTTTTGGAGATCTCTTTACTCTTTGTAGAAATTTTTCTTGGCTCTAAAGGAGTTTGGTGGATTTCCTGTAGCACTTTGTATGCTGTTGCTTTTGTCTGCTTCTCCCTGTGTAGTGGCTGTGAACACTATGGATGTGAATCAGCTCTCCAGGAACCAGGGCTGTTTTGGTTTATACTTTCCTTATAGAGTAAATAGTCAGGGGAAACACATTGTCTCCAAAATCTAGCTTTTCCATGTATGGAGACAACCCAAGGTTGGCTTCAGGGCCACCTAGCAGACTGTTAGCCCACTAAAAAAGAGGTTTTTGTTAGTGGCCCCATTTGGGTGGAGGACCCACCTATAAGGTAAGGTCAGGTTGGGGCCTTAAATGACCAGTCCTCTCTCGTCACTCAGTAAGCTATAACTGTTCATAATAAATTATTTTACTTTAACTATGGCTTTGTTTACATTGATGTGGAGTTCAATGGATTTTTAAGATTATATTTAAAATCTATATGCTATAATCATTTTAAGTCTTTAATACTTACTTTTGCATATTTGACAGTTTTCACTTCCCTGTTATGACTTCTTTATGCATCTTTTGTTTTTGTTGTTGTTGTTCTCTTGTTTGTTTTATTCTTTTTCTCCCACTTAGAAGGTAAGCTTCCTCTTGCCCTCTAATTTCTTTTTTGCTTTAAGAGACAAACGCATGTCTGTGGGGTTTTCTTGTGCTGTGTGCCATGCCTTATTGTTTGCCGGTGTAACACTGTGCTCCAATATGTGTCAGAATGTGATTTAATATGGGACTTCAGGCTATGGTGGGATGACTCTTTGACTCTGGCTCATATTGAGCTATTTTTTTTGCTTTTTTTTTTTTTAAAAAAATCTTTTTTTTTTTTTTGGGTCCGGTCCCGGGGCCTGAACTCTGGGCCTGGGAGCTGTCCCTCAGCTCTAGGCTAGCACTCTACCACTTGAGCCACAATGCCACTTCCAGCTTTTTTTGCTTATGTGGTGCTGAGGAATCGAACTCAGGGCCTCTGGCATGCAAGGCAAGCGCTCTACCACTGAGCCACCTTCCCAGCCCCTAAAAAAAATCTTTTTGTTCAGGTTCTTGACTTTTTTTTTTTTTTGGCCTGGTCATTGCTCCAGCTTCATTTGAGGGGCAAGTTTCCTTAGGAAGCTAGGTGGCCTGTAAATTGCCTGTAGACTCTGCTCTTTGGTAAGGAGACTGCCAGGTGATACCATTCCTGAAAATACCTCTCCTGCCAGTCTTTGCAGGCTCTGAAATGTTGTTTTTGGATATGTGGCTTGGAGGTTTTTTTTTTTTTTTTGGTTGGTTGTAGGCCTTGAACATTGGGCCTGGGCGCTATCTCTTAGCTCTTCAGCTCAAAGCAAGTGCTCTATCACTTGAGCCACAGAGCCACTTCCGGTTTATTGGAGATAAGAGTCTTGCGGACTTTCCTGCCTGAGTTGGCTTTGAACCGTGATCCTTAGATTTCAACCTCCTGAGTAGCTAGGATTACAGGCATGAGCCACCGACGCCCAGCTGGCTTGGAGGTTTTAAGCAACAACAAAAATGGACAGTCTCAAAAAAAAAAAAAAAGAAAAGAAAAGAAAATGGACAGTCTCAAGAGCTTTTTCATTGCATAATAATCCTAGCAGTCAAAACCAAAAGGACAAGACGGGTTGCTGGTGGTTTTCTAACTTAAGTCCATAGCTTACTGCATGTCTGCTGCCTAAGCTGCAAATCACCTGTCATTTTTCTATGATCTCCTGTTTTCCTAATTTCAATCTTTCCTTTGCTTCTAGCAAATGACAAGTAGTAAGGAAGAAGCATTTAACTTTAATGTGTCTCTAGTTTTGGAGGATAAAAAGTTACCCATCATTTAGTGACTAAGTGTGACTGTGTTATTCAGCTTTATTTCATTCAGGGGCCATCAAGAGCTGCTTCTTTACAAAACAAAACAACAAGACAAAACAAAAAGTCAGTTGGGATTTTTCAATGGATAAGGATTAGGTACTTGGTAGGCTAGATGAGGAACTGGCCAAGTTCTTACCAGGTTTATTTACAATTTACATGATAACTTCCCCAGGTTTGTTTATTTATTCATTTATCTTATTTTTTTAGGCAGGCGCTTTATTGCTTGAACCATACCCCCAGCCCTTTTTGCTTTAGTTATTATCTGGATAGAGTCTTTAGTTTTTGCCTGTGGCTGGCCTGTGATTTTGTTCATCTTATCTCCAGCCTCTCAACATAGTTGGGATTGCAATTGCATGTCATCATGCCCAGTTTGTTGGTTGAGTTCTTGCTAACTTTTTGGCTCAGGATGGCCTCACACCCATGATCTCTAACTTCCTGATCTCTAACTCCAGAGTAGCTGGGATTGCAGGTGTGCACCACTACACCTGGCAGTAACTTTCCCAGTTACATGCTTATCTGAGAAGAAGCTAGTTTGTTAGGATGTTGCAAAACTAACTTTATCAGGAACAAATGTGAATTCAGTTAGCTCAGCCAAAAGAAATTCAAATACACAATGACTTAGAATGAACCAGATGTTTATTTTTAACCTGTTTGCTTTTTGGAAAGATAACATGACATTTCATTCCCAGTCCTGTTCCTATCTACTCTACCTTTAATTACACATCAAATATTTATTAGTCATACGAATATTTGCAATGGGAAGCTTTTTTCTTAAAGGTGGCATTTTGTCTGTTTTTCAGTTCAATAGGATTAACTGGAAGGCATCTTTTATTGCTCAACTGTGGGCAATGATAGAATCAGTCAGACCCTGTATCCTTGTCCCATCCTGTTTCATGCATACAGTGATTTTCACTTCTCATCCCTACCAATAAGCCAATTAACTTTGTCTTACCATACTTGTTTCATGCTTCCCCACTGGTGCAGTATTCTTCTGGAAAGTGATGGTTCCTCTAAAAAAGTGGGGGAAGAAAGTAAGTGAAACAAATTCTTGGTAAAAGTATACCTAAAGAGACAATTCAGTAGGTATTTGTCTTACCTTTCATACCTACATTCATACACACATTTACAAATTTAAAAGTAACTTTGACCTTAAACACTTTCTTTTGAAAATAATTTCATCCTCTTCTTTCAGTGATCATTAAAAATCAAGTTAGCAGTTTTTCTAAGAATATACTATGAATCCAAAGAATTTTGAGTTAAACACAATTCTAATCCTAGTCTGTAAATTCCACGCTCAGTTCTTAATCTTGTTTTTTCTTAAATTTAGGAACTTATATCTTGATGCATGATAGGAATTAAGAGGGAGTATAAGAACAATTCTAAGCACATTTTTACAGAAGTGGCTTTTGCAGTTTGATTCATTAGATGCTAGTCAGTTGTGGTGAGTTCCCTCCCACTATGGCTCTAGCCTGGGGATGAGTAAACGCAGAGACTGACTCAGAGCTCCTGCTGGAAGATCACTTTACTTTACCAAAGAAGGAAATACTGGTTGGAACAAGCAATCCTGTAATACTAGTCCTTACTGCCAACCTTTGGGATTTAATAGTTCAATTTTATTTATTTAAAATAATAAGGTTGGTTGTGGCCTTCTTCTGAGTGTTGTTCTAGTATTATGTTTTTGCAACCAATTTGGACTGAGAGATTTATCTCTAATGAGTTCAGTTAGGATAGGTCACACAATCATTTCTGGTGCTTTATCCCCACTCCTCAAATGCATAAGAGAAAGTCAGCAAATGTTAAGGGGGTTGGATGTTTCTCATTTAATTTATCTCCAGCAACGATATCTCTTTAAATGCTCACAACAGTTACAGAATTTTAGAAGGTATTATTAGAGATGATGAACTGAAGCCCAGAGAAAGTGACTTACTTGATATCTGACATCTAGGCTGCTTTCTCTTGTCCAACCTGTTCTTCTCAGAAATATCTTTGTTCAAAACACTGGAGTGATTGGGTGCTGGTGGCTGATGCTAGTAATCCTAGCAACAAAGGAGGCTGAGATCTGAGGATCGCAGTTCAAAGTCAGTTCCAACAGGAAAGTCCAGGAGATTCATATCTTCACCAGAAAATTGGAAGTGGAGCTCTGACTCAAAGCGGTAGAGTGCTAACCTTGAGCACAAAGAGCTTGGGAACAGCTCCCAGACCCCGAGTTTAAGCCCCACAACTGACCAACAAACAAAAAACCCCACTGGAATGGTAGTGGTAGAAATGTGGTCAGAAATGAAATGAAGTGGGAAGGAAGGTGTCAGTAGAAGAAAGAAAAGCAATTGGATAGTGAAGAGTTCTTATTCTTTATTTACGGTTTTCAGTTTAAGACTACTAGAATTGCAAGGCTTTTCTAACTATAGTTCCTCTTGACTGTCTATAGGAGGAGCTCAGTATTCACAGGGGTTCGTAAGCCCTCACAGATTTGTTGAATTTTAGGAAAATGTTAGTTCCTGGGAAATACTGTAAACATATTTTTTCCTATTTCTTTTAAATACTGGGGTTTAAACTCAGGGCCTTCTGTTTGTTAGGTAAGAGCTCTGCCACTGTAGCTATTTTCCTACCTAGCTCTGTTAACCTTTACATAAATTTGAGATTTAGTGAGGTCATTGACGGGGGTGGGGAGGTGTGGGGTGGGGGTGAGGTTGGGTGGGAAATGGCTACAAGAGAACTTTACTACAGGTTATTCCTAGTCAGGTTCCTAAGAGCCTTTATTGCTTGACCAGACAGTAAAATATTTTTGAATTTGCATTTTTGAAATCTAGCAAGTTATCTATTGGTTTTATTTCTTAGGTTTAAAAGTGTGTTAAGGAGAAGATTATTAATAGATTTTAAATTAAATAATTTTACATTGACATAATTGACATTTACATTGACATAATCTTATCAAGGGTAGCATATACTTTGTAAGAGTTTGTGAAATAAAAAAATACCTATATTGACAACTTCTGTTATACTTTATAACTTGTGTTAACCCTGGAAGGCTGTCCAACTTCCCGAGGGTTAGAGTTTGCCTGTGATATTCTTTTAAGATTTGTATTACTTTTGGAGGTTGGGTTTGCTGCATAAATTGGTATAAAACAGAGTGGGAGGAACAGAGGTTTAAATTATGTGAGAAACCATTAAAAAATACTACATATCTACTTATACCAGTTACAAGAGGCCTTTGAAATAGATCTTAAGATGCTGCCTTTTGATGTCTACCATAATTCTATATAAGTTGATAATAAAAGTATTTTAGTTCCATTTCCCCAGTAATGTAGGCCACTTCTTTTTTGTTACTGTGGTTAAAAATTAAGGTTAGGCTTGGAGAAAGAACAGTTCTATCTTGTTGGAGGAGGAAATTCTAAAGTGGAGAGTCTTATCATCTGAATAGGTACTTTGGAAAAGCTGGGCTCAGGACTGTTGACCACAGGGTGTGAATGCAGACAGTGTTTAACTTGGGCTAGCCCTGGCTCTTTGAATTGAACTAGAAATTCTTCTGGTGCCCCCGTGTGGAAAACTGATGGACTAGCACATTAAGAGAACCCTAGTTCTGTAGGATTCCAATTGCGTAGAATCCCTCCCTCCCTATGCTACTGAGTTTTGAAGTCAGGGCATCGCACTTGCTAGGCAAAGCATTCTACCACTTGAGCCATGCCCCCAGTCCTTTTTCTTTTAGTTTGTTTTTCAGGGAGGGTCTTGCATAAATCTTGCCTAGGCTGGCCTGGAACCAGAGTGTCTGGTTTACATACAAGCTTGTTCTACCATGCTAAACTCATTCTCTGCATTTTCCTATATTAAAAAAATTAGAATGTAATTTAAAGGGATTAACTTGTTATCTCCCAGTGTATCTTTGGAGGTTTTAAGTTAGCTGTAGCTCCTCATCATGAATCTTGGTTATAAGGCATAAGTCAAGACCTGTATGTTAGGTCCTGTCTTTTCTTGTTATGTTAGAGATAGGAGGAGCAGGAAAGGACAGAAAATGCTCACTTTTTGCATAACACTTAGTGGTTTATTTGGAGAACTGAAACAAGATTTGTTGCATTACATTTTCATTTTTGTTTCCCAACCAGTAATTTCAAGTTTTTCAGATTAAATATTGAGTGAAATCTCATCCAGTGTATTTCCAAATGCACAAAGATGTGAAAGAATGGTGTGATCTGTGGCACCACATACTAGTGAGGGTTTTTGGAAGCTGGGGGGCTCTGGCAGGGCTGCCGTAGGTGGGTGTTGGCTAGTGGAAAAGCTGGTAGTGAGGCATGTGACAGCAGGGCTGTTCCCCGCTGAAGACATGAACCATCTTTTTGCTTGAGCAATTGTGCCACTTTTCAGTTTTAGCAATAGAGACACCAGGAAACAGAATAGAATTAACGGAAGATTTGCATGCAGGGTGCTGCATTTTGGCAGAAATAAAAAATTTGCAGTGTGATGGGATTGTTTTTAAGACTATTGTAGGATTACCTTAGCTATTGTATGTTAGTGCCATAACAACTTCCCTATCTGTTTTGTATCATGGTCTCTCAATTTTTTCAAATAAAATAATTGTGGGATTTCTCCTCTAAAGGACACTGAAGCCATGAAGAGAGCACTAGCCTCCATAGACTCTAAACTGAACCAGGCCAAAGGTTGGCTTCGGGACCCCAATGCCAACCCAGGTAACCCTATACCTCTGCTTGTTTTTTGATATGTAAAACCAAAAGCTAAAATTTAAGCCATGGGGGAAGGAAAGAGATCTTTCCATAAGCTCATAATTCTAATTTCCGTAACATTTTGAGCATATACTGTTTTCTGATAGTTCTGGCTAATGAAAGTATTACTGGGTCATAAAAGGATGAAGGGCACTGACCATATTATCTCATCATGGAGGACTAAATTAAGCTGAGCTGTGCATTCTATGCAAAGCCATCACTGAATCAGAAAGTTAATTGTTGTTATTATTTTTTGTGCCAGTCCTGGGGCTTGAACTCAGGGCCTGAGTGGTGTCCCTGAACTTTGTTTTAGCTCAAGGCTAATGCTTTATCACTTGAATCATAGCTCCACTTCTGGCTTTTTTCTCTTTTTTTGGAGGTTAATTGGAAATATGAGTTTCTGCCCTGTTTGGCTTCAAACTACAATCCTCAAATCTCAGTCTCCTGAGTAGCTAGGATTACAGGTGTGAACCACCAGCATTTGGCTAGAAAGTTAATTTTTTTTTGGTGGGGGTGTGTGTGGGGGGAGAGGGTCAGTTGTGGGGCTTGAACTCTGGGCCTGAGTGCTGTCCCTCAGCTCTTCAGCTCAAGGTGTGCGCTCTACTGCTTGAGCTATGGCGCCAATTCCGGTTTTCTAGTGGTTTATTGGAGATAAGACTCTTATGACTTTCTGAGCTGGCTTAGAATAGTGATCCTCAGATCTCAGCCTCCTGAGTAGCTAGGATTACAAGCATGAGCCACTGGTGCCCGGCTGAAAGTTAAATATTTTGAATAAAGCTTCTTCTCTTCTAGTTCCCATCAAACAGACTTCCATTTATGTCAGTACTTAATTAAGTAGATTAAACAGTGATGCCAATAAGAATTAGAAAGCAAAGCTAACTATATAAAGACTGAAGTAGTTATTGAACTTGGCTTTATAGATTGTCTAATATAATATCTATTCCATTTTAGATTAATATTTGAATGGAGTTTGGAGGTGCTAAGCACTATTAAATTGTTAGAGCCAGATTTTTATCATCCATATTTTATCACCAGCTTCTTGGTATCTCCAAGAGGATATGGTTCCAAGTATCTTTTCTAGCAATATCTGTGGTTAAAACCTCACCCATAGTTGTAAGGGCACTGTTTGGATGTTAGCAACTATCAGATGGATTGCCTTCTATTCATTTGTCATTTAAAGTGTTCTATTCCCTCATGAATGAAATGACTGTAAGGTTTCCTTACTAAATAATTGATGTGTCTCCAATGTAGATATTGAATATCTCCCTATTTTAGGGGATGCTGGTGAGCAAGCCATCAGGCAGATCTTAGATGAAGCTGGCAAAGTTGGTGAACTTTGTGCAGGCAAGGAACGCAGGGAGATCCTGGGAACCTGCAAGATGCTGGGGCAGATGACTGATCAAGTGGCTGACCTCCGAGCCAGGTAAATAGCCTCCACTCTTAATAGACCACTAGTGAGTCACTTGCTCTTCTAATAGGGTGATTCAGAAAGTAAGTCCATGGTAATTTTATTGAGTCATCTTTGACTAATACATAACATAGGCATGGTATTAATTCTTCTAGATTGAGTAGATTTTTCTCTTTTCCAAATTTAAAATATGCTGCATCTGCCTAATAATTAAGTTAGAACTGTATTTGAAATAGAAATTTATTTTTTTAAGGGAGAATGATAAGAGGGGGTGAGATTGATTAGAATATATTATAAACGTGGAAATGTACAACTATACAACTCTTAGCAATGAAAAAAAGGCATTTGTCTTTTAAATTCTAGCCATAGGCTTATAAAAAGTAAGAGGCAATGTTGAAACCTTGGTTGGTTATATATTTTTTATGAAGGAAGGTAGAAAGAAACATAAAGAGCACACTGGAATATTTCATACATCCCTTGTAAAATCAATTAAAAGATGGTCCTCTAAGTCATTTCTGGGCTCTTTTGTGTTTCTGTTTAATTATTACTTACTTGGTTTCCTAATTCTTTCACCTTATTTTTGTACTTTTTAAAATCTTGGCTTAAATAACTTAATATTCTTAAATATACTTAATTTGCTATTGAGAAAACTCAGATACAGAGTTACTTGGAATTCATCCACGGATTGACTAAATTCTATAAGATTTTTATTTTTATGGAATTTGATGATAAAGACATTGAAGAAAATTGAAGCGTGTCCAGATGCTAATGTAGATAGAATTTAATTTTCTTTGAGGTCGTTGGGATACACAGGATTTCCATACAAATAAGACCCAGAAGTCCCTCAACATGATGTATACCATTATACCTGGTCTCAAGTATTCACACTTAAGAACACAGATCCAGCTGGGCACTGGTGGCTCACTGTAATCCTGTCTGCTCAGGAAGCTGAGATCTGGAGGATCTTGGTTTAAGTCAATTCACGGAGAAAAAGTCTCCATATCTAATTAACCAGCAAAATGCTGGCTGGAAGTGTGCCTCAAGTGATAGAGTGCCAGTGGTAAATAAGAAAGCCCAGTGATGCCCGGTGCCGGTGGCTCATGCCTGTAAGCCTAGCTACTCAGGAGGCTGAGATCTGAGGATCATGGTTCAGAGGCAGCCCAGATAGGAAAGTCTGTGAAACTCTTATCTCCAATAAACCACTAGAAAACTGGAAGTGGTGCTGTGGCTCAAGCTTGCCTTGAGCTGAAGGGCACAGGGACAGTGTCCAAGCCCAGAGTTCAAGCCCCACAACTGGCCAAAAAAAGTCTAGAGAGAGTGACAGGCTCTAAGGTCAAGCCCTGTTACGGTTCTCTCTTGTGGGGTTAGGGAACCTACAGCTCTCTTTTGGAGCAATGTAATAAACAAGCCCATACAATATTCTGTGAAATTTCTTGAGTTTGTGGTTGCACTGTAGCCCTAGAAGTCCCTCCAGGTTGGGTCTCTTATCTTGAAGGTGAGGAGGAATAGTTTAAATGAATGTAATCCTTCCTCCTGAGCTTAGCAAGCTTTCTCTTGCTGAGAAGGCATCTCCCTTGTCATGGATATCACAAAAACTTTGCAGAACGGACAAAAAGAAGTTTTGTTCTTATTCGGAGAAATGCCAGTGCAGCCTGTCAGGGTTCTTGGCTCTTTGAATTTCTCATTTCTGGCTCTTTTGTTTGTAGCCTTTTCACAGTGTGGTAGACACTTTCACTTGTAATTCTCAAACACACAGTTGTATGTGTTTAGAGGGAGTGAATATGAGCAAGAGAATGAAGCAGTTGTTGTGAGGGATCAACCATTAATCTGTAGAGAGAAAGAGCTCGAACAGTGATGAGTAGCTGTGGGCCTACTTCGCAGTGTAGTCTACAAAACCCTTTCATGATGAAAGACTGTGAGGCTGTCTTCCTGTTGTCCTTTCTTAAAGATAGCCAATCATTTATTGTTTCAATGGCTGAAACACAGTAACAATTTCTTCATTGATATTCTACTCCTGAACATTTCTCTGTCTACAAAAGTATATTTTTTAGTCATCATGGGACTCGGTAAATCTCTTACTTTGATTGTAGCTGATATATTTATTTCTACTTTTTCAATGAGATTCATATTCCTTATTATGAATTACTAGATGTGAAGGGGGAACAAAACAAATTAAATTATAAACATTATGTTTCCTAAAAGTATTATGCCCTTCTTCTAGGTAAAGAATAGAAATAGAGCCAGGCCCTAGTGGCTCATGCCTGTAATCCTAGCTACCCAGGAAGCTGAGATCTGAGGATCATGGTTCAAAGCCAGTCAGGAAAGTCTGTGTGACTCTTATATCCAATTATCCACCAGAAAACGGGAAGTGGTGCTATACTTGAAGTGATAGAGCACTAGTCTTGAGTTGAAGAGCTCAGGGACAGTGAGCAGGCTCAGAGTTCTAGCCCTACAAGTGACCAAAAAATAGCAATAGACTTAGGAGTTTATTATCTCAAATGTTGGTATAGATGAAAAACAGATGAATTTAAGAAAGAAGATAGATAGATGAAGTGATTCATATTATTTTAAAGTTAGAAGCTCAGATTAAGATGAGCCAGGCCATTCTACCAAATGGTAAATTTGCCATTTCTGTGATTGAATTTACCAGGCTGCAGGCTGCATGGGTTTAAAAAAAAAAAAGATCTGAGCTTGTAAAAAGAAGTGGCAAATCTTTCTTTATGATTTGTAAAGTCTGTTAAGGAAAACGAATTCCTTTTTTTTTTGTTTTGGTCCGGTTGTGGGGCCTGAACTCTGGGCCTGGGCGCTGTCCCTCAGCTCTTCAGCTCAAGGCTATCGCTCTACCGCTTGAGCCACAGCACCACTTCTGGCTTTTTTCTTTTTTGCTTATGTGGTGCTGAGGAATGGAACTCAGGGCCTCAGGCATGCAAGGCAAGCGCTCTACCACTGAGCCACCTTCCCAGCCCCAGGAAAACAAATTCCTACTAAACATTTTTTCTTTTTGTAAGTAGCCTACCATCTCTGAGAGAGGAAGATAGTAAAATTGGTTCTTTATGAGCTTGACGGAAAGTCCTAACTGGTACTAGTCCCTCAGTACTAATTTGCTGTTTATTGATTGCCTAGAAATGGAAGGTAACTATTTAAGATCGTCCTTATGTTCACTGTAATAATGATGTTAATTTAGTTATAATAATAGATAATAATAGTTATAATACTTTTTTATTTCTTTAGTGGTGCTGGGGATTGAACCTAGGGCCTCATGAATGCTAGGGAAGCAGTCTACCATATTGCAAGCCCTCAAGTATATTATTTCCCTCCATCCAGTATTGGGGTTTGAACTGAGGGCCTTGCATTTGTGAAGCAAGTACTCTACCACTTAAGACATAGCTTTATCCCTTTTTCAGATAAGTAATACTTTTGGACTAGGATGGCCTCAAACTGTAATCCTTCTACCTATACCTTCTACATAGCTGGGATTACAGATGTGGGCAACTATACCCAATGAGATAGACATAGAGCTAGGATCTTGCTAACATTTTTCCTGGTCTGGCCTTGAACTATGATCTTCCTGATCTCTGCCTCCTGAGTAGCTGAGATTGTATTGATGAGCCACCATGTTCTACTCTACATTACTTATTTTACTCATGGCTGGCATGCTACCGTACCTCCAGTCCTACATGTTACTTTTATAAGAAACAGCTGAAGCCCAAATGGGTTAAACATCATAAACAAAGTCCCACAGATACTAAAAGTCAGGATCTAATTGGTTTCAGTGTGATAGAATTTCAGTATCACTGTGATGTCTCCTCAAACATTTTCAGTGTACCCTTGCCCATAAATAAGACAAGTTAATGGGCTACTTATTTCTAAAGCACACATTACTATGGTAACAAAGCCTCCCATAGCAATAATACCCCCAGCACATTTTCCCACTGAAGTTTAGATTTGGTTATGTAATCATCACCGAGAGGAGAATAATTACTATCAAAATTTGCTGTCCTGGTTTCAAAGTGGTTATGTAGTCCCATAAAGCTAAAGTGTATTCCTAAAAGCAAAAGGGAAAGTAGATGGTTTTGGTGTTTTGCTTTCTTTAGTTCTGTTTTCTTGTGCTATCCAAAATTACTGGGGAAAAGGAAAAAGCCAAGTGTGTTCACAAACATGACATGTACTGTGATTTTAAGAAGATTCTGTTATGAAGTATCTGAGAGGGGACAATGACAGCTTTTGTCTGTTTGAGTAGAGGACAAGGAGCCTCACCTGTGGCCATGCAGAAAGCCCAGCAGGTATCTCAAGGACTGGATGTGCTTACAGCGAAGGTAGAAAATGCAGCTCGCAAGCTGGAAGCCATGACAAACTCAAAGCAGAGTATTGCGAAGAAGATCGATGCTGCTCAGGTAGTGATGGTGATTTTTTTCAAGGGTGGTAGGAAAGAAAAGAAAAAAGAAGTGCTCTATAAATATCCTATAAATATCTCTTTCTCCACTCCTTTTTCTCTCTGTCCCTTGTCATTTACTGTGGGTAGATATTGGGTGTTTCTAAGTGAAGACTGATGGATTGTTTCCTACAAGTTTCCAGTATTAACACCTTCCCTACTTTTACAGGTTTAGACTAATGTTCATTTATATTTTGAAATAAAGGTGTTAATTTTGAATGTATCACCTAGCTAAAAGACAGCACTCTGAATACCAGGAGTTCCTGGTAGAGATGACGGTAAATCGAAATGATCCCTTATCTTAGAATTCACAACTGTATTTGGTCATAGAAGTTTTAAAAGGTTAGAACTTTCTTTTTATATTTTATGTAAAATTATTTGTGAACACTTACACAAATTTAAAAAGGCTGTGATTAATTCTAATGGAAATGAACGGGGGATATAGCATTAGTGGTAAAGCAAGCGCTTAGTGTATATGAGGCTCTGGGTTCAAATCTCCAAACAACATAGATATCCAAAAAAGGGAGGGATTAATTAGGTCTTACCTAAAACCTGTTTTACACAGATTCCTGTGTAAAACAATAAGAATTAGTACTCAAGCTACTCAGGAGGCTGAGATCTGAGGATCTCAGTTCAAAGTTGGCCTGGGCAAGAAAGTCTGTGAGACTCTTATATTCAATAAATTACATAGAAAAAAGCTGGAAGTGGTACTGTGGCTCAAATGGTGGAGTGCTAGCCTTAAGTAAAAGAAGCTTAAGGACAGTACCCAGGTCCTGAGTTCAAGCCCAGGACCAGAGGAGCACTTTAAGAATAATTATTAGTGTTACATATATTAACTTATTTCTGATGGCTGTCTAAGTTAAATTAAATGTGGTTCATGAATAGTAGTAGCTCACATCGTTGTCCATTTCTTGGTATAGAATTGGCTTGCAGATCCAAATGGTGGACCTGAAGGGGAAGAACAGATTCGAGGGGCTTTGGCTGAAGCTCGGAAAATAGCAGAATTGTGTGATGATCCAAAAGAGAGAGATGACATTCTGCGTTCCCTTGGAGAAATAGCTGCTCTGACTTCGAAATTAGCAGATTTAAGAAGACAGTATGTATTTAGTCCCTTTAATAGCTCTCTTTCTCCTATCTCCCTTCCACTCCTCTTCATTGACTCTAGGAAGGTGTAGTTGAATGCATGGTAAATACATGTATCATGTCCCTCTACTACGTTCTTATGGCTTCTTTGTGATAAGGTTGGGTCAGATATCACCTCTGTTGTATGAGTGACATGAGACTTAATAATATATGGTTGATCACACAGTTTTAAATTAATGTATTTAGGATGCTATGAACTCCTCTAAGTTATATTTTTATAATTCCTAAAATAGTATTTTCCCTTTTTGTACCCATCAGTGGGTTTAAAGCTTTGTGTATGTGTTTGTATATATATGTATTTATGCATGTGTTAGCTGTTACTGCTGCTTGAACTCAGGGCTTTATATTCTCATTTTGCTTTTTCACTTAAGGCTGGTGGTGCTCTACCACTTGAGCCACAGCTCCACTTCTGGATTTTTTTGTTTTTTGTTTTTGATTGGTCATGGGTCTTGTACTTTGGGCCTGGGTGCTGTCCTTGGGCTCTTCAACTCAAGGTGAGCACTCTACCACTTGAGCCACAGTGCCACTTCCGGTTTTCTGGTGGTTAATTGGAGATAAGCGTCTCATGGATTTTCCTGCTGGCTTTGAACTGTGATCCTCAGATCTCAGCCTCTACTACTGTCACCACTGCCATTGCTGTCCAGGCATACTACGTTCCACAGAGAACTAGTATTTTTACTGGTGGCAGGCTGAGGGTGCGGGTGATGACTGATTGAACTCAGCTCACCCAATTATTGAACTTTGTGAGCTTCACTGCCTCAAACTCATATTTAGTGTCTTAACTAGGATAAAATAGTCTAAACTTAAACTGTTTTCTCAATCAAAGGTTAATTAAACTACTCCTTTCCAAATTACTAATTATTAGGAATTTGTTGTCATTATTATTTGTCATTGATGGGTCATGTCAATGTGAATTATGTCTACAGTGTAAATTGTAAATTGTGACACGATGGCTGTTTTTCTTCTCCTAGGGGTAAAGGAGATTCCCCAGAGGCTCGAGCACTGGCCAAACAGGTAGCCACTGCCTTGCAGAACCTGCAGTCCAAAACCAACAGGGCTGTGGCCAACAGCAGACCTGCCAAGGCAGCTGTCCACCTGGAGGGCAAGATTGAGCAAGCTCAGCGGTGGATTGACAATCCCACAGTGGACGACCGGGGAGTAGGTAAGGGTGTCAGTGCATTGAACACTCCTTGCACTGGTCTCAGTGCAAATAAACAGGTTGTTGATGTCCTGTAACATGTCTAATGAAGTGCCAAAAGGGTACTTAAGCCACTTGTGAGTTATGTTTTTGTAGAGTAATTCTACTTCTGTTTATAGCTAATGAAATCTAGTGGTTTATTCCAGTAGTACTAGAGAATAAATGATCTATACAAATAGAGCTTCAGCTCAGAACTGAAACTCTGAATGACTTACTGCCAGTCCTATGTATCTGAGATCTGAGAATTGATGTTTGAAGCTAGCCTGGGCAGGAAAGTATATTAGACTCTTATCTCCAATGAACCACTAAAAAGCTGGAAATGGAGGTTTGGCTCAAGTGGTAGAATGCTAGCCTTGAGCAAAAATGCTCACAGTTATCACGCAGGCCCTGAGTTCATGACCAAGGACCCCCAAAAAATTTTAAAAAAAGCAAACAAAACAAAACCAAAAAACTAGGTTATTTTAGCTGCAAGGACTCTTCTGTTACAACTGGCCCATTGTATAACTTATTGATGTAGGAATAAACTGATAGAAATGTTTTGAATGTGGTGTTTTTGATTCCATTATTTGACTTTTAGGAATTTTTTTCTAAGATACAATTTATTTTGAGGAATTAACACAAAAATGTATGTAAACAGTACTAAGTAGTAAAATAATTATAGTTCCTATGGTAAGATGCTACATAGGTCATGTTTTGGTTACTGCTGCTGTTTTTATAGTGCTAGGGATCAAATCTAGGAATTTGTATCTGTGAGACATGTGCTGTGCCCCTTACACCCTGGGCCATGTGTTAAAAAGATATTTAGCGGGATACTTGTGGCTCACACTTGTAATCCTAGCTAGTCAGGAGGCTGAGATCTGAGGATTGTGGTTTGAAGCCAGCCTGCTCAGGACAGTATGTAACATTCTTATCTCCAATTATCTACCCTCTGCCCCACCCCCCTCCAAAAAAGACTGAAATGGGGCTGAGGCTCAAGTGGTAAAAGTGCTGGCTTTGAGCACAAAAGCTAGGGACATTCAAGCCCTAGGACTGACACAAAAAAGCAAGTAGATAAAAAAACCATAATGAAATGGAAAAATGCACATGGTCAAGAAAAATAAAGAATAAAAGTTGGGCTGGATGAGTAGCTTAGCATGAATGAAGACTTGGCCTAAATCTCCAGTACATACATAAAGAAAAGTTAATATATAGTATGTCTACTCTTTTTTGTTGTTGTTAGTCTATTCTTATTTATACTTTTCTATATTCCGAAAGTATTTTCTTTCGTCAGGGAACTCTGTCTCATTATACTTTTTGTGAAAAAAATGGCAGACTTATAGAGTAACATTGCTGTTGCCTTCTCTGGGTCAGTGTGAATTTTAGTGATTTTTCTCTTGGTCTAGGCCAGGCTGCCATCCGGGGGCTTGTAGCTGAAGGACATCGTCTGGCTAATGTTATGATGGGACCTTATCGGCAAGATCTTCTGGCTAAGTGTGACCGTGTGGATCAGCTGACAGCTCAGTTGGCTGACCTGGCTGCCCGAGGGGAAGGGGAGAGTCCTCAGGCCAGAGCACTTGCATCACAGCTTCAAGACTCCTTAAAGGTAAACTCAGGAACACAGATCATTAAGCTTTTCATGCTATCATTGAAAAAGGATGATGGAAGAGAGAATTAAAATTAAAATATATCTTTTTGGCTTTAAAGAAAATAAAAAGAGTATGACCAAGGACATTAGGAAATGAGAGTTTACTAGGAAAAAGGTCACCCATGTTTTGTAGCAACTAATGTTGATTTTCCCAAGTTTTATTCATGATTTTGGCTCTATCCATATGCCCCTTGTCATAGTCATAGAGTCATAGAGTCATAGTCAATTATTTTTTTATTAAGAATTGCCTCATGCTGGGCACTGGTGGCTCATGCCTGTAATCCTAGCTACTCAGGAGGCTGAGAGCTGAGGATCAGGGTTCAAAGCATGCCTGGGCAGAAAAGTCTGTGAGACTCTTATCTCCAATTAACCATAGGAAACCAGAAGTGGTGCTGTGGCTCAAGTAGGGTAGAGCACTCACCTTGAGCTGAAGAGCTCCCAGACCCAGAGTTCAAGCTCCACAACTGACAAAAAAAAAAAAAGAATCACCTTTACATTTATATAAAAGAAAACAAAATAATTATTTAAAAGGAATAACCCCAAAATTATGTATTTGATAACCTACTTGAATTTTTTTCTAATATTTAAAAAAAGATACAAAATTATTATAGTCATTTGTCTGTGTAGCCTGTATAATCATCTCCAGTATCATTGCCCAGTGTACACCATCCACCTTGAGAACAATAGCGGGCATGGAGATTTCTTCTTAGAAACTCAGAAAACTTAAATTGGACTAAATGCAATAACTTTGAAAAAGAACTTGTGATTTCTAAGTATCTTCTCTTTTAGACTCATGTTCAGAAAACAGTACATTTATTAGTTACTGAGTTCTAGAAACCTAATCCCCATTCTTGGGTTCTTTCCTCTTAAGATAACTAATTGCTTAGCATTTTGGCACAGCATCTACCAGTTTTAGTGCTTATCACCATGTCTCTTCAGCAGTGAGATCTCTGCCGCATCCTAGGGTCTTCTTTGGGCTCAACCCTGTGATTCTCAGTGTCATTTCGTAGAGAACACCAAGAAAGGAAGTTTACTTCCTTGATTGGATAGAATAGGGACATGAATGTCATAACTATGCTTTCTACTAGGCACTAATTTCTTTTGAGGATAGGAGGCATAACTTTGACCTGGGCTAACTCAGTGTTGTAAACACATTTGACATTCAAGAAATATTTATTAAGTAAAGCTAAATGAATGAATAAGTGAATGTGTCATTGAATTAAGGACATTAACAGACAGGATTTTGGAATGTTGTTGTTGATTTTTATTTATAATAATATTTTTAAGGATCTGAAAGCCCAGATGCAAGAAGCCATGACTCAGGAGGTGTCAGATGTTTTCAGTGATACCACGACTCCCATCAAGCTATTGGCAGTGGCGGCCACTGCCCCTCCTGATACTCCCAATAGGGAGGAGGTAGGTAACTGAGGTCTTCCAGTTCTTTTGTTGGCCAGCCATATATTTATATAATTAATTTATTTATATTTGTACAGGTAAACTGTGGTTATAGTGTACACCAGCAGCAATAGTTGGGAAATTGTGGAAGAAATGTGGGAGTTTGGGAAGGGGGGCTTTTAGTTCACTAAGTGTATCAGTTATGAATGTCTTTAATTGCAAGTAGTAGAAGATTTGACCATCAGAGTTGACAAAAATGGAATATATTGTCATTACATATCAAGAAACATGGAATTTGGCAGCTCTGGCACTGAGTCAGGAGCTAAAAATCTTTTTTCCTCATAGTACAGGATGACCTTTGCTCCCTGGGCATCATTGTTCAAAGCAGAAAGAAATGAAGGGATAGTAGTGATCCAGTCACTATTAGGGTACTTTATTCTCAACATGGAAATCAGGACAATCGTGTGTGTGTGTGTGTGTGTGTGTGTGTGTGTGTGTGTGTGTGTGTGTGTGTGTGTGTGTGAAATCAGGACAATCGTGTGTGTGTGTGTGTGTGTGTGTGTGTGTGTGTGTGTGTGTGAAATCAGGACAATCGTGTGTGTGTGTGTGTGTGTGTGTGTGTGTGTGTGTGTGTGTGTGAAATCAGGACAATCGTGTGTGTGTGTGTGTGTGTGTGTGTGTGTGTGTGTGTGTGTGTGTGTGTAGATCCTGGAGCTTAAACTCAGGACCTGGGCACTGTCCCTGAGCCTCTTTATGCTCAAAGGCTCTACCACTTGAGCCACAGTGCAACTTCTGACTTTTTCTGAATATTTTATTAGAGATAAGAATCTCATGGATTTTTTTCCCCTGGGCTGGATTGGAATGTGATACTCAGATCTCAGCCTCTTGAGTAGCTAGGATTATAGGCATGAGCCCCTGGTGCCCAGCTCAGGACAATCCTTTTAAATTATTTGATATTATTCTTCAGCTCAGATCCTTCCAATAACTATTTCCTGTTCTAAACGGAAGCCGGAGAGTCCTTAAAATGAACAGTAATGGCTAACATGTGCTGTAAATTAACTCTCCAGGAAATAAAAACACCAAAATCCTGATTTGTAATACTGATTGATTTCTATGATGTAAATACTTCTGTTATGGATGTTTTAACCTAAAGTCACTGAGTTGGGAAGAAAGGCTCATATTTGACCCTTGTCAGCTGGTTGAGTTGGTGAAAATGGCTTCAGAATATCACTGAGTTTGGTCCCCTACTTCTCTGATCTTACGTTGGTACTTATTCTTTTCCTTCATGCTCCTCTCTTTACAATAACCTTGAATTACACTCCTAGTGTTCCTTGTGTATGTCACTGTGTCATAATCTCAGCTCTTGGTATTTGGCATCCTTCCCACAGATTATTTTTTTTCTCTCCAGAATGTCACTTTTGTGTGATTACTTAAAATAGCACCATAACCCAACTCTAGGGATTTCTTAGTCTGCAATTGATGTAATCCTGGTTCCTAGAACAAGTTCTAGCCTTGTACTTTGTGGGTACAGAACTCCTCCAGGAGACATTTGCTTGTATCTCATTGTGTAGAGTAGAACTCTGTGACATGGCTACCATAGCTGCAAAGAAATCTGGGAACAAGTATTTGGCTCCAAGGGGTTTAGGTTAGCCATTCAAGACAACAAAGAACTTGTGGGTGAAGGTTTGTGCTATTCTTATCTGTTCACCTCCATTCTTTTCTCTTGCTGTGGTCACTAAGCAGTTCAGATCATGTTCACCTTCAGTTGGGATGATTTGCCACTTTTTCATTTCATTCTTTTGAGTTTTAGACTAGGGATCCCTATTCATTCTCTCCTCCTAGGGCTTCATAGTTTCCTCAACATATGTTGACTTCTGTTCTCTTTGGAAATATGTGTCTTTATTGACTTTTGCCTTCTCATCTTCTCAAACCAGTAACTAACTCAAATATGTTAATTTGACCTAAAAAATATTGCTGGCTTTCCATTTTCCATTGATGTTGCCAAAGCTTTAATTCTGATTCTTTTTTTTTTTTTTTTTGTGGTTGTGGGGTTTGAACTCTGGGCCTGGGCACTGTCCCTGCGTTCTTCATTCAAGGTGAGCACTCTACCACTTGAGCCACAGCGCCACTTCTGGTTTTTTTTTTTTTTTCTAGTGGTTTATTGGAGATAAGAGTCTCATGGATTTCCTGCCCAGGCTGGCTTTGAACTGCAATCATCAGATCTCAGCCTCCTGAGCTCAGCTACCTGAGCTACCGGCGCCTGGCTCTTTTTTTTTTTTTTTAATTCTGATTCTGGTTTCTTTCTTTCTTAAATTTTTTTTTGTTATAATTTATTGCTTCTGTCTATGTGATACTGAGGAATTAAGCCCAGGGCCTCATGAATGCTAGGAAAGCACTCTACCACTGAGCCACATTCCCAGCCCTGATGCTTGTTTCTTGTATGCCTACATAGGTCTGACTTGTCTCTTTAAATCTCTCAGAAAGCTACTAATAAAAAGAAAAAAAAAAGCAAAAAAAAGCAAATCTGATCTGTTTCAGCTAAACTTTTTTTTTTTTTTTTTTTTTTTTAATGCATGTATGCCAGTACTAGGGCTTGAATTCAAGGCTTCATGTTCTTGCTTTTCTTTTTGCTAGCACTCTTCTACTTGAGCCATGCCTCCAGTCCAGCTTTTTTGTGGTTGATTGAAGATAGGAGTCTGGCTTTAAACTGTTATCCTCCAGGTCTCAGCCTCCTGAATAGCTGGATTATATGCATGGGCCATACATGCCTGGCTCCAGTTAAACTTTTAGTGAGATTTAGGATCTAGAACTATTTGTTCTGGCTTTTCATACACTTTATCAACTTCTTAGGGGACTTTTTTTTTTTTTTTTTTTTGGTCAGTAGGGCTTGAACTCGGCCTAGGCACTGTCCCTCAGCTCTTCCGATCAAGGCTAGTGCTCTACCACTTGAGCCACAGCTCCATTTCCGGCTTTTTCTGTTTATATGGCGCTGAGGAATTGAACCCAGGCCCTCATGCATTCGAGGCAAGCACGCTACCACTTAGCCACCTTCCCTTTATCAACTTCTTAAAACCTTCTGCCTCTTAGTTATACTCCAGCAATACTTAGTTGCTTATGATTTCTTGCATTTTGTGCCCTTCCCATATCTTTGTTCTTTCTTTTTCTCTCTTCCTAATTATCTTTTCCATTTTTTTCCCGTATGGAATTCTTCTTGATCCTTTTATCCTTTGCTTCCTAGATAGGTTATCTTTTCCTTTTATTCCCATAATATCAATGGACAACTCTATTATTGCACAAGTAACATAGAAATGTTTATGAACTCCTTTTCTTCCATTAGGCTGTTAGCCCCTTGAGAAACAAATATTTTGTCTTCTTCATTTTATATCTTCAGCACCTACATCAGGGTTGAGCGTATAGTGGGTAGTCAGTAAATTTGGATTGGATGTCAAGTAAAGCTAGCTAATCCTTCAGCTAAATTAGACGGAGCGGTAGACATGGTTTTGGATTGAGAGGCAAGCCAAGAAGTACAAAAGATCTGTTGCTGTAGAGTATAGGACACAAGCCATAGTAAGAAACAAGGACCCAGGCTGGGAAGTTGGCTCAGTGGTAGAGCGCTTGCCTTGCATGCCTGAGGCCCTGGGTTCGATTCCTCAGCACCACATAAGCAAAAAGAAAAAAGCCAGAAGTGGTGCTGTGGCTTAAGTGGTAGAATGCTAGCCTTGAGCTGAAGAGCTGAGGGACAGTGCTCAGGCCCAGAGTTCAGGCCCCATGACCGGACCCCCCCCCCCCCCCAAAAAAAAAAAAAAAAAAGAAACAAGGACCAAGGCCAGGACAAGGAGAGCAGAGTTGTTAGATAGAGATTCTGAGCATGAATGGCTGATCCTAAGAAGGTAAATCCAGCAAAAGGTCAGGGAGGTAGAAGAGACGTAAGGGGATAGACACAGAACACTGGCAGTGAAACTGGAGTTTGCTGTTGAGCCAAGACACCTTTGACATTTTCTGTCTTAAGTCAGTACTGGGCACCAAGTATGGGCAGGCAGAACCTCAGGAGGAGATGAAAAAATGCAGATGCATTTGGACAGGCAGTTCCTGACATTCTTTGTGCAGAACACAAACCTGACTTGGTACTGTTTAGCATACCTTGCTTTTTCAGTGATGAGTCCTAGGCATGAATGTTATCCAAACATTTTGTCATATCAAGCAAATAAATAGTTTCTTTCATGGTGTTCCCTTGTGCAGTATTTCATGATGAATGAAGAATTAATTTATAAAATTTGAGAAATGAATAGTTACGTAGTTTTTTTACTCATTCTTGCCCTGTGTCAGGCCCAAGAATGAGCACAAGCTATCAGTTTTCCATAGAGGTTAAGGGCAGTGTTTTTACAACAATAACAGTAATAGAGTATGTGAGAGAGGGCTGGGAAGGTGGCTCGGTGGTAGAGTGCTTGCCTCGCATGCATGAGGTCCTGGGTTCGATTCCTCAGCACCACATAAGCAGGAAAAAGCTGGAAGTGGTGCTGTGGCTCAAATGGTAGGGCACTAGCCTTGAGCTGAAGAGCTGAGGGGCAGTGCCCAGGCCCAGAGTTCAGCCTCCATGACTGACCAAAAAAAAAAAAAGAGTATGTGAGAGAGGCTGAATACAAGTACTTAGTCTAGTACTCTCTGTGGATATTTAGGGCTTGTAATGTAGTCACCTACCCAAGGTAGAGCCTGGAGTAGGTCTATCTGTCATCTTCAAACTAGACAAGAAACCTTTTGGAAATGAGGATTATATAGACTTTAATGTCTGTGAATTTGTAGAGTATATAATGCTATGTATCCTGCTTGCCTTTGGTGTAAGAATTTTGAACTAAAATAGGGATACATGTATGTATATGTGTGTGTATGTGTTGTATGAGTGTATGTGTGTGTGCTTGCACACATGTACATGTTATTCTAGGAAAGGTTTGATGTTTCCTCTGAAGACTGAGCATATGCTGTACCTGCCTAAATATAGATTTTTTTTCTTTGTCTGACCCCCCTCCCCCTCCTTTTTTTTTTTAAAAAAAAATAAATGTTCTATGTCTCTGTTTTCAACTAAGGTATTTGATGAGAGAGCAGCAAACTTTGAGAACCATTCAGGAAGGCTTGGAGCCACAGCAGAGAAGGCGGCTGCTGTTGGTACTGCTAACAAATCAACAGTGGAAGGCATTCAGGCGTCAGTGAAGACGGCCCGAGAACTCACACCCCAGGTGAGGTTTTGCTCATTCCTTGGTTTTAAGTTCTGCATATAATATTCAATAACAAAAACTTTATGTACATCCTTAAGCACTTACTCTAACATCACTTTAAAAAACATGTAATCTCAAACTTGGTGATTTCTAGAGTTAGGATTATGCAGGACTTTTAGCTTTATACATTTTTTATATTGCTTCTTCTTTTTTTTTTTGAATAACCATATATTAGTTGTGAAAGTAAGAAAACAATCTTGTTCCATCATATACACACACACATGCACACACACTTCAGACAGTAACAATATTTGGCTAATGTTGAGAGGTTAGTTTTCATTTTATAGTTTATAGCTTTCCCTAGCATCTCTGAGAGGATTGGGGTGGTGGGGGGTGGGAGGGAGAAGAATCAGCTGGGAAGTCAAGACTGTAATCCTATTTGAGAGGCATAGCTCAAGTGGTAGAGTAACTTCCTAGCAAGTGTGAAGCCCTGAGTTCAAACTCTAGTAATACCACCAAACAACTGTATAACCAAAGTATAGCTAATAGGATGTGAGGGCAATCCAGCTGTGACATGGGTCACCCCACTGATCGCTAGGGTTGATTTGGCTGATCTAGCTGACTAGGTGAGTGTTCTCTTCCTTCCTCACTGCTCCATGTGCATCCCTCCCAAAGCTGCGCGCTCCTGATAGAGGACCAGTCTTTGGTCCAGGATATACTAGTAGTTGCGCTCCCCTGCTAGGACCTCCAAACAAGCTCTCAAGGTCCAAAGTATAGCTAATAATTTTGGGAGCAAAAGTAGATAAAAAACAAAAGAATTCAATGTATAAAGGCATTTTAACAGATGCTAAGTTTTCTTTTTGTCAGTCGTGGGGCTTGAACTCTGGGCCTGGGCACTGTCCCTTAGCTCTCAGCTCAAGGCAAGCAGTCTACCACTTGAGCCACAGTGCCACTTCTGGTTTTCTGAGTGATTTATTGGAGATAAGAGTCTCATAGACTTCCTGCTTGGGCTGGCTTTGAATCTGGATCCTCAGATCTCAGCCTCCTGAGTAGCTAGGATTATAGGCGTGAGCCGCCGGCTCCCGGCCTGCTTCAAAAAAAAAAAAAAAAAATTGAGATGGGATTTGCTTTGTGCTTTCTGCCTCAGAATCCTGAATGTTGGGAATATAGGCATGTATCACCATGCATAGCTAGTTTTCTTAAATATCTTAATATGTGATGTTTATGTAATTTTCCTTCTGCTTAGATGATAAAAATCCACCTTTTCAGTGGATACTTATTAAGTAACTAGTATGGTGGGCACTGTACTAGGCATTATAAATATATAATATACATAATATATAATAATAAAATGTTATAATTATGTATAATAATATATCATTATATATTATATAATAATATAATACTGGCTTTCCTGAGAACTTGTGGGAAAATAAACATGTCTTATTAATTGGTCCAATTTTGCCTATGTGGCATGTAATAAACTAGATTTAGCCTTAAGTCAACAATAAAAAACAAAAGAAAGTAACACCAACATGAATATGAATTAGGGCCAAGCACTGGTGTCTCATACTTGTAATCCTAGCTATTCAGGAGGCTGAGATCTGAGGATGATGGTTCGAAGCCAACCTGGGCAGGAATATCTGTGAGACTCTTATCTTCAATTAACCACCAGAAAACTGGAAGTGGAGCCATGGCTTAAAGTGGTAGAACAAAATAGCTCAGGGTCAGCACCTAGGACCTAAATTCAAGCCCCATGATCAACAAAAAAAGAAAGAAACCAAATTAGATTCTCTCTTTTGTAGTACTAGAGGTAGAACTCAGGGCCTTGACCATGCTAAGCAAGTAAACACCTCATGCTACACTACCAGTCCAAATCATATTTTCTTGAAACCTCATAGGCATCCCACCTTTCATTCATAAATTAGATGTGTTTGTGCTGGGATTACAGACATATACCACACCTGTCTAATTAAGATCAAAGAGTTGACATTTAGAGTTTAAATATATGTCAGTTTTGGTGTATACTCTTTTGAGGTATTAAATGAATGCATATTTCTTAAAATCAAGCTGTGATTCTAAATCCAAAAGTATTCAGTCTGAAAAGTAACTTGCCAATTTTTGGCTTTATGCTGCCATCTGTAGGCGAAGAGGAGAAAAGCTTCTTTGTAGATTTGATGTAGGTATGCTGGTGTTTAAATCGTTTTTTTTTTTTTTTTGTAAATAATCATTTGCTAGGTTGTATCTGCTGCTCGCATCTTACTTAGGAACCCTGGAAATCAAGCTGCTTATGAACATTTTGAGACTATGAAGAACCAGTGGATTGATAATGTTGAAAAAATGACAGGTAACATTTTGTGTCAAGTTCTTGTTGTCTAGTCTGTGAGTTTTGGGAAATTCAAGCAGTGCAGGTTATATTTCTCAGTTGCAATTGGATAAGGGGGTGGTCATGTGCTTGACAGTGTACTTGGCCCTGATTAAGGCTGCTGAGCAGCAGCGGCTTCTCATTCAAGCTTTGCAACTTTGTCTGAAGAGAGACTGAACCTCTTTTAGAATTCTGCCCTTCCCGTGTGATGTTTATTGTTACAGCTCCTATCTTCTTTTTGAATAGTGTCTTTGCCCAGTCAGCCAGTCTGAGCTAGAGATTTGGTTTCAGAGGCTGGGAGGCGGTGTTTTTGGATACAGTAAGTGTCCCTGTCATTTTCAGAGGGCTCACATTTCAAGGAACCACAATAGCTACCATTTAATGCAACTTGTCTCAGAGTTTCCTCCAACTTATCAACTGCGTAGTTCTAAAAAAAAAACCCCAGAAAACAAAAACAAAAACAAGGAGAAACCAATCACCAACAAACCTGGGTCTGTGTGGCTAAAGCAGCATCTCTGAATTCCTCTGCTCTCTGATGGGCAGGCTTAGAGGGAAGAAGCTAGGCATATAGGCTCTTTGCTGTCCCTGTACAACCTGCTGACAGGGGTCTGTAGCAGCCAGAGATGAAAGTGGAGCTCTCGAAGTGTCTGAAGAGAGGTAACAGAAACAAGAAGCAGGCTGTTAGGGTTACTGGAATCCTCTGTGTGGCTCATCTTGGGCGCTGCAAGCTGCCAACACTCAACAGATGGCTGGGAGTGAGAAGGGAAGAGAGAAAATGCTATTAACAGATAATGTGGTAGTGATGTGGTGAGGTTTCAAACGCAATCCTGGTTTCTTCCCGATGTCATTGTATTTCTGGCTGGCGAGTGACCACGGTTAGTATAATTTTGGAAAATCCATATGACTTTCTGGGCTTTGTCTTCACTTTTTTTAAGTGGGGAGAAGGAACTACTGTCTTTAGGTGCAAACCTGATTGTGTAGGAAGAACTGTGAGTGGAAGGAGGGAATTCTGAGTGCTGTACTTTTTCATGAGAAACAAATGGACAACAGTGTTTTGGAGTCTCTAAAGAAGCTACATTCCATTTCTGTTCTCTGGGTAGGGCTGGTGGACGAAGCAATTGATACCAAATCTCTCTTGGATGCTTCTGAAGAAGCAATCAAAAAGGACCTGGACAAGTGTAAGGTAGCTATGGCCAACATTCAGCCGCAGATGCTGGTCGCTGGAGCAACCAGTATCGCTCGTCGGGCCAACCGAATCCTGCTGGTTGCTAAGAGGGAGGTAGAGAACTCTGAAGATCCCAAGTTCCGTGAGGCTGTCAAAGCCGCCTCTGATGAACTGAGCAAAACCATCTCCCCGATGGTGCTGGATGCAAAGGCTGTGGCTGGAAACATCTCTGACCCTGGTAAGCAACAGGGCATGGCGGGGTTCACCTCAGCTGAAAGCATAACTTAGGAAAGATGGTGAGGGAGTATGCATCCACAGCCACCACATATATAATCTGGGAGCAAAAGCTATAGACAATTTGGGAGTGTTATATTCATCTTTTTCTGTAATATTGGTAGGCTTGTTGATCTCTGGATAAACTTCCCTGTGTGTTATTGATCATTTCTGACTAAATAGATCCTAGCCTTTTGAGTCATTATTTTATTTTAGAAATGTCTCCAAATATGCATGATGACCAATTATCAACCATTTAGCTTATGTAACTTCCCTTACACTTTGCTCTGTAAAGCAATTTCTATTTCTGTCAAATCTAAAGGCCTGTGACCCAAGTCTTCTGGGCTTTATTCTAAAGAATCTGGGTTTTCTTAAGCTGCATTTTTTTTTTTTTTTGATTGGTCATGAAGCTTGAACTATGGACCTGGGTGCTGTCCCTGAGCAATTTTTGCTCAAGTGCTCTACCACTTTGAGCCACAGTGCCATTTTTGGTTTTCTGGCGATTAATTGGAGATAAGAGTCTTACGGACTTTCCTGTCTGGGCTGGCTTTGAATTGTAATCCTCAGATCTCAGCCTCCTGAGTAGCTAGGATTACAGGTGTGCTCTACCAGTTGCTCGGCTTTTAAGCTGCATTTTGATCACATTTCTAGTACCACTAAAGGAGAGCATATTGGAATTATTCCTTTGATTGTAATCATCTGCATTTTGTTATTGTTGTTGTTTGAGCAGTCTGTCTTTCTGCTCTTATCTGTAAGTAGAATCCAATAAGAGGAGTCAGAATGAGGGGCTGCCTTATTCATTATTGTATCCTATCACTAAGGGTGTGCTTCGTTTTCTATTTGGAGTTTCTAATATTTTGAGTAGATTCCTAATTTTTGAGTAGATTGCGGTGACACACTAGTGGGTTCAGCATAATGGTTACCATGCTGAATGCCAAGTAGAGCACAGGGGTATGGTGAAAGGTGAGAAGTACTTCAGGGAATCTATGTGCAGTCTGAAACTAACATCTCCCATGTCCTGTACTGGGTAGACTTACCTTCGAGATTGCTTTATCGTAAGGGAGGTGATGGGATCCACCTGAGGTCAGTGTTTACACCAGGATCTTCTTAGTACTTTTGAGTTTTGTAGCCAGAAGGCACCTAACCATGGAACAACTGATTTGTGACACATGGCTCTTTTTTTTTTTTTTTTTTTTTTCTGGATCCGGTCGTGGGGCCTGAACTCTGGATCTGGGCGCTGTCCTTCAACTCAAGGCTAGAGCTCTACCACTTGAGCCACAGCGCCACTTCCGGCTTTTTTCTTTTTGCTTATGCAGTGCTGAGGAATCAAACCCAGGGCCTCAGGCATGCAAGGCAAGCGCTCTACTACTGAGCCACTTTCCCAGCCCAGCACATGGCTCTTCTGTGCAGGCCTTAAGGCATCTGACTTGCCTACTTTCCTTCTCTCGCCATGATGCTTACTGGCAGCTTCACATCCATCTTTTGTTAATGGAAACCAGTTCTTCTGCAGGACAGACAGTGCTTTGGGGCACTGACCTGCTCAGCTGAAAGTGAGAATGTCTTGTGTTCAGGCCTGCAAAAGAGCTTCCTGGACTCAGGATATCGGATCCTGGGAGCTGTGGCCAAGGTCAGAGAAGCTTTCCAACCTCAGGAGCCTGACTTCCCGCCGCCTCCACCAGACCTTGAACAGCTCCGTGTAAGTAAATTCAGACAGATGGGGAAGATAGAGCAGCAAGGTGATGAGACTGTACCAAGAGAGAGGTGGATTGTTTTAGAGCCTCAAGGACCAGGCAGCTAAAACAAATAAACTTCTACTTGATATTCCTTGATGATCAGAGGAGATCTTGATTTCCATTCCTAATTCTCATGTCACCTAGTGTATATACTTGGGTTGGTGGTATCTGTGGCATCTATCAGCCTATTAGGATGTACCTGGAGCAGAGGAGCTGGCTTTGGTGAGTGTGGTTGCAATGAATGATCATGAGGTAGTGAATGGTGATAAAATCATTGGGGCTGCATGTGGTGACAAAATTTTGTGTTCCTAGTAATTGTGAAAGTGATTAGAATCTTGTTTCTTCACTTGATTCCCCATCTCCCCCTTTTAAAAGCAGAAGATACTTTTTTTTTTCTGGGGGGGGGTCCGGTCATGGGGCCTGAATTCTGGGCCTGGGCGCTGTCCCTCAGCTCTTCAGCTCAAGGCTAGTGCTCTATCACTTGAGCCACAGCGCCACTTATGGCTTTTTTTCTTTTTGCTTATATGGTGCTGAGGAATCGAACCCAGGGCCTCATGCATGCAAGGCAAGCGCTCTACCACTGAGTCATCTTCCCAGCCCCGATACTTTTTTTTTTTTTTTAACCCAACTGTAATTTCAAGCCTTTTGATATTTCTTACTCAACAAAGTACTATGAACATATTTTTCAATAGTTTAGGAACAGTCTAGCTGGGGGCAATACTTTGCAGATATAAATCCTAGAAACAGAAATAGTTATTATATTTAAATGTTTACTCTTAACAGAATTGGAAGAATTCATAGGAGATAGCTTATCAAGGCAATAATTTCATTTATTCTTTTTCATATTTTCTCATTTTTAATGTCAATAAAAGGTGTGAAGAGGTAGGTATGGTGGCTCACACCTGTAATCCTCACTACTCTTGAGGCTGAGAGCAGGGGATCACTGTTCAAGAGCAGGGCAAAAAGTTCACAAGATCCCATCACAAACAACAGCTGGGCACAGTGGTATGTGCTTGTCATTCCAGCTACAGTTGGAAGCATCAATAGGATTGTGAATCAGACCAGCCTGGACAAGAGAGACCCTCACTCAAAAATTACCAGTCAAGAAACCAAATTAATCAGATACATTGTATGTACAGATAAAAAATATTGCTCCCCAAACCTGCAGTATTTCTTGATTCTTTCTACTTGGACTCTTGGTGGATTAGAGCCAAGGGTTCTAGAAAGCTATTTCTGGAGAGTGGCTTCTTAGGTCATTCATAGAGTCATGACACTTACAATCATGATCTTAGAGGTCATTTAGCAGGTAAGGAACCTATGCCTCAATTAGAAGCTATTTGTCTTTCAGTTGACCTTTGAGGGAACCAGAAAGAACTTAAATCTTGTGTGAGGGGATCATCTTTGGTAGTCCTTGATCCTGTGTGTGTGTGTGTGTGTGTGTGTGTGTGTGTGTGTGTGTGTGTGTGTGTGTGTGTGTGTGTGTGTGTGTGTGTGTGTGTGTGTGTGTGTGTGTATCATCCTGGATTATGACCAATACCTAAATCTTGTGTGAGGGGATCATCTTTGGTGGTCCTTGATCCTGTGTGTGTGTGTGTGTGTGTGTGTGTGTGTGTGTGTGTGTGTACACGTACATCATCCTGGATTATGACCAATACCTACTAGCATTTTGTGGAGAGAAAAAGATGTGCTTCTGTTGAGATTGCAGCAGGTGGTCCTTGTGACTCAGTGTGGGTGGTTTTATATGGAGTGAATGTGGGTGGCTTTTCTACATATTCCTTGGAGGAAAGGCAAAAATTCTAGGTGGAGGAGGGGGAATAGCTCCTGGGCTTGATTTATAATCTATTTATTTGCTTTCTTAGCTAACAGATGAGCTTGCTCCTCCCAAACCACCACTGCCTGAGGGTGAGGTCCCTCCACCCAGGCCCCCACCTCCAGAGGAAAAGGATGAAGAGTTCCCTGAGCAGAAAGCCGGGGAGGTGATTAACCAGCCAATGATGATGGCTGCCAGGCAGCTCCATGATGAAGCTCGCAAATGGTCCAGCAAGGTAAGTATTGAGGCTTCTCATTTTGAGAAAGGATGTCTTCTCAGAAAGATGAAGAACCTTGTACACAGCCCAGGAAGAAGAGTCTATACAGACTCCATCACTTTTCTTTGGTTCTTGTGTTGCTAGTAGCAGATTTCTCTTCCTACCTGTGATTAACTATTAATCTGGTGATTAATAGTTGTTTCTCCTTCGTGTAGCAACAGTGAAAGCTGGGATGCCTGTGGTTAGAGAAGAAAGTTCCTTTCCTCTATTTTCTTTTGGATTTTTGAGTGCTTTAGATTATTCCTTTGCTAATTGTCTGAATTTCAAATATGAAACTGTCTTTTGTGGGTTAAGCTATAGCTAGATGGAATTTTTGCATTTTCCTTCTATTTTTTCATTAAGAAGCCAGAAGACTGGTATCTTAGAAGCCATGTAGCTGTCCCTTTCCAGAATCATTCTACTTCTTAAAAGCTGCAAGTTAACACAGCTAATTTGAAAGTGTGATTCTTAATGTAGAGTGTAAATTTAGATGTTGTAGCAGTTATGCCCCATTGGTAACTTTGGCCTATTTTCCCCTAAGTAATAAAAATTGCGTGGTAGCTTGTCTGCTAAGTGCAAAATCTTGTTGCTTACCTTGCAGTGAAATGTAGTTCTCAGTTCTAAATTGGTTCTACTTCAACCCTGGGTCTTCATTCCTGCCATCTATTTGCTTTTATTTATTTACATCAATACCTCTAAGCTCTTGCACTGAATGTAGTTCCCCAGGAACTTCCCATAATCTTGGATCTTTTTCAGGCTGGGAAATTTACCTGTGCTTTTCTAAACAGATTCTAAGGAGGAACAGGGACATTGCTGGTGTTGGACCTGACCTGTGGAAGTATTTACAATGGTATTTTTCAACTAGGGTGTGCATATTCTTGGCAGAGTCCTACTGTCCATGAAGACTCAGGAGGGTTGGTTTTACTCACAGAAAATTTAAGTTTCATTATAATATTTAAGTTTCATTATAATAACACAGATATTGTGCAGAACACAAAATATACGTGAATAATAAAGATAAAACTTAAAAGGAACAGACAGCATTATCCTGTGTATTTGTCTCACTCTGTCCTGTGTGGCCAGTCTTTAGAGCTGATTGTCTCCTGAGGTTCAGAGAATCAGAGATATGCTGACTTTAGGTTATATGAAGCCAGAAACTACTTGTATTATATGTGATGGGGGAAGGAAAATGTTTTTACTTGTGCCATTTCGTTTTGTATGCTTTGTCATCCAAAAAGACTAGCATCTATCAGCTAGTCTTTTCTCTTAGGCATGGAGATGAGACAGTTTTAGGAAAAAGATTTAGATGGTAGCTATACCCTTGTTGGTCCTGAATTCTCCATTTTCATTGCCACCTCTTAAAGTCAAGTTTTGTGTTAAGGGTAAGACCATTTCCCTCTCACCTCTTTTTTTCCATCCCTTTTTTTTTTTTTTTGGGTCCGGTCGTGGGGCCTGAACTTTGGCCTGGGCGCTGTCCCTCAGCTCTTCAGCTCAAGGCTAGCGCTCTACCACTTGAGCTACAGTGCCACTTCTGGTTTTCTGGTGGTTAACTGGAGATAGTCTCATGGACGTTCCTGCCTGGGCTGGCTTTGAACTGCGCTCCTCGGATCTCAGCCTCCTGAGTAGCTAGGATTACAAATGTGAGCCACTGGTGCCCAGCTCTTTCTATTCTTTTATGAACCCATTTTGCACTTCTATGAAGGGGTCCCTTTGAGCTCAGTCTCAGTTGCAAGGTCTAAGTATTTTCCCATCTTGGAACTAGTAAGTCAAGGGTTAGTGTGAATCTATTTTGCAACAGTAGATTTAGGTTGTATTCAGACATTTTCAGAGAGTTTGTTTTACCAACAGAATAATAAAACACTGGGAACTTTGCCTCAAGACTTCAAGGAGAAGAAAGCTGGTTTGAGATGTCCGTTTTCACTGTGGTTAGAGCTGGATTACTTGATAAATTTTACCTCTGCTCCATTATTTCCCTGCTTCTTTCCAGGTTTGGTATTTGTTATCATCAATGTAGTTTTAAAGCAAGGATTTTTAACTTCTGAAGGAAATAATTTGTATTTGGAAGCTATCTGAAGCTGTCCTGGGATGATTAGGACAGTGACCATATGGTCCAGCAGGGTGTTCACTTTTTCTGTTTAAAGCAACTTGTGTGGCTGCATTTGTTTTTTTCTCACTTTCTGGATTCCTTTAAAAAGCAATGAACTATGGTTTGGTTGGCTGGTTCCTCTGATGTTAGAGTTATTCTTGTCAAATTTAGTTAGTGTATAGCACGTGCTTTCTAGGTATAAATATGTATGTGGAACTTTTTCCATTGGAGCAAGTCCTTTTTTTGCCTTCTGAGCTGAGTGGTGCTGGGGGTTGAGTTCCTCCTTCTGTGGACCTTCTGTGGTTCATTTGGCTATTGGAGTATATATAATTTTTTTTTCTCCAGTCCTAGGCAGGCTTTGGTTACTAAGTCAGCTGAAGTTCAGTTCCCAAGTCCTACTGTTCTTACTAACACTGTCCCTGTTTCTCGTCCTTTTCACCATCGACAAAGCCGGGTGTCCCAGCCACTAAGGTGGGTATAGGAGTTGTAGCTGAGGCAGATGTGGCTGATGCTGTTGGGTTCCCTGTCCCCTCTGACATGGAAGATGATTACGAACCTGAGCTGCTGTTAATGCCATCTAATCAGCCAGTCAACCAGCCCATTCTGGCCGCGGCTCAGTCCTTGCATCGGGAAGCTACCAAGTGGTCTAGTAAGGTACTGACTGGCAGCCCCAGTTGGGGGCTGCTCCCAATGCATCCGGCCATGTGCAGCCTTGACACCTTGCATCACTCATGTCTGTGCGGGTCCTGTGAGTCTGAGCAGGGCGGGCATCTGTCTGTCTGCACCATGTTATTAGGACTGGCTTCACAAGTTTCATAGGTCTGCTAGTGCCCGATTATTTGGACTGTGTTTATGTTTGGGGGACAAAGAGAAATTGGGCCACTGTTTAAAATGATTCCTTATCAAATTAAGGCTTACCAACTTTGTAGCCATTGTTGGAACTTAAAAGTCTTTGGGAAGCAATGACTTCTAGGTCAGGAGCCATGATAGACCATTAAGAGGTCTTTGGCCTAACCACTGAGCTTTGCCTGGCTCCACTGACCTATCACTTACGGCTTAGGCAGTGTTGATCAGTATGAGCAGCTTTCTTGGCAGAGACTCTGGGAAGGACTGCTTGCTGCCCTGCACTTGGCTGTGTGGCAGATGCTGGACTTGACAGGAACACACAGGGAAGGGGCTTCACTGCTTGTTCAGGTGTCTGGGTGGGAGGAGATGTAAGTGAAAAATAAAGAGGTTAAGGGTACAAGATAGACAAATCAACTTTGGCCTGGGGGACTGAACCAGAATAATTTTGGGGAGAATGGGGGATCACTTTTTTCCTTTGAAGGTTGCATGTTGCAAGGAAGTTTGAAGGTGATTGTAATAACTAACGCTGGCACTGCTGTCTTCTAACTAAAATCATGAAATCCTACGTGATCCCAGTTCTGGAAGAGGTGGTTCCAGAGGGCCTCATGTAACCCACCCCTTGCCTCATGACTTCCTCCCAAACCTGTGTTCTGGTTTCAGCCTAAATTTATTGCCTGAGACATTATGCATCTTCCAGCAGTGCCTCACTGCACTGTACAGAAACTGAAAAGCATGAGGGGAAAAATGAGTGGGGCCTGACCATTTAGGTAGTTGCTACACATTGCAGTTGCTATACTTTTATATTGTTATGGGCATAAAACAAAGTGATTGGAAGCCAGGTGCTGGTGGTCCATGCCAATAAGAGGCTGAGGCCTGAGGATCATGATTCAAAACCAGCCTAGGCAGGAAAGTCCATGAGACTCTTATCCCCAATTAGCCATCAAAAGCTAGAAGTGGAGTTGTGGCTCAAGTGGTAGAGTACCAGCTTTGAGCACAAAAACATTCAGGGATAGTTCCCAGGCCCTGAGTTCAAGCCCCAAGACTGGTATACACACAAAATAAATAAATAAAGTGCTTGGAGATTTATTATGACTCTTGAGAATTTTAGTGAACTAAATGCCAAATGTAAGATAATCTCTTGCTAGTGAGTGGGGGTTCTATTTGTAAAGGACTTACTTTTCTGATTCCTCCCTTGGCATCCTCCTAGCTGCACGTTCCTTTCATTGGGGGCCTCTTAGATGTGGGACTGAAGAATTGACTCTTGACCTTTACATGTGAAAAATTAAAAAGGACATGTTCTTTTAGGATGACAGGATATAGGAGACAGAAGAGGAAGGGCTAGAGTAGTTTAGATCAGGAAATAGCATCCTCCCCATCTCCACTCAGATTAAATTCTAGTGAGTCTTTGGCTGCTCTCTACAATAGGGTGAAGATAAAGAAGATCACAGCATCTGGAAAGGCTCCTCTGTATTTTTCCTCTCTGCCCAGCTCTGCTTTCTCCTGTCATAGAAATGAAAATGCCTGATTAACTGCCTCCTTGGTTCTGTGCCCATGTTATTGACACAATTAACCTGAAGGTGCTGAAGTGCTTGTTCTGTGCTGTGCTTGGGGCCACATGTTGCCCTTTCAGACTAATATCTAGGTTTCTTTTTGTTTTGGTCAGAAGATTCTGTCTCTCATCAAGTGCTGTGGTCACTCTTTTCTTTCTCCAGTTTGTCCATATCATTCCAGAACAGTCTTTTTATCCTTTTCTCATTCTTCCAGAGAGCTGCCAGAGCAGCAGGCTGCCTCCTCTCTCTTGTTTTTCTACTTTCCTTGATTTGGCCAGTGTGTGTGGGCAGAGCTCACATGGTGTCTGCTTCTCTCTAGGGCAATGACATCATTGCAGCAGCCAAGCGCATGGCTCTACTGATGGCTGAGATGTCTCGGCTTGTGAGAGGGGGCAGTGGTACCAAGCGGGCACTTATTCAGTGTGCCAAGGACATCGCCAAGGCCTCAGATGAGGTCACTCGGTTGGCCAAGGAGGTTGCCAAGCAGTGCACAGATAAGCGGATTAGAACCAATCTCTTGCAGGTACTTGGGATGAGAGGTTGTGTGTGTGTGTGTGGGAGGGATGTGAGGGAGAAAAGCAGCAAAGAGGCATACATGTACATTTGGGAAAGGCTCAAGGACTTATATTTCCTAATCATATGGAAGAATCAAATGAAAGAGGTCTTCTACTTTCAGACTAGGGGATGGGACTGAGCTTAGGGATATGTATTCATGCTGCTAATGTAGAGTATCTTCTACATGCCAGCCAGTGAGAATAAAGGTGGATGTCCTATTGTCAAGGAGCTTGTAGGCAAGACAAACATGGATATACTCTAAATGAAACTTTCTATTTAGGTATGTGAGCGAATCCCAACTATAAGTACCCAGCTGAAAATCCTGTCTACAGTGAAGGCCACCATGCTGGGCCGGACCAACATCAGTGATGAGGAATCTGAACAGGTATGTGTCTACTGCTTTTGCTTCCTTGCCAGCAACTTTAAGAGTGTGCCACTGAATTCAAGTATTTAGTATGTGGGATGGACTCTTGGATTTAGGCATTCAGGAGTGTGTGTTGGAGACTCATCAGAAATCTGGGATTGGAAGTGAAGCTCTTGTGTAACTTCTGCCATTTTACAGATGAGTAATCAAGAGTGTCAAAGTAACACCATGAATCAGTGACAGCAATCTACTCAGTTCTTTTCCCTCTATAATAGTTTGGCTCTTTTGAGGTTTCCGGTGCCTATTCACTCCCACTCAGTGTCCTTTCAACCAGAGAATCTTTTCTTTCCTGCTTTCTAGGTGACTTTCCAGGGAGATGAACAGGCTTTTCAAAGGCATGAAGTGCTTGAGACCAACTGCTGAGATTAGCAGTTCAAGAAGGTGCTTCCCTTACATTGTTTAGGTTTCTTAGCAGCTAGTAATTTAGTATTAGAGTTAGAACTGGGGGCCTCACACTCTCTAGGCAGGTGCTCTACCACTTACATTATATCCACAGCCCTTTTTGCTTTAGTTGTGTTTTGGATAGGGTCTCCCATTTTTGCCTGCCTGCCTCTGCCTCCTCTGTAGGTATGCCTTACCATGTTCTGCTTTTTTTTTTGAGATGCATGGAGACTTCATGAACTTATTGCCTGAGATGGCCTTGAAATACAGTTGTTCCGATCTCTTCCTCCCCTGTAGCTGGGATTACAGCTTGCAACATTATACTGGGCCTATTAAGTGATACTTTTTTTTTCTTTTTTTTGGTCGTGGGGCCTGAACTCTGGGCCTGGGTGCTGTCCTTCAGCTCAAAGCAAGCAATCTACCTCTTGAGCCACAGCACCACTTCTGACTTTTTCTGCTTATGTGGTGCTGAGGAATCGAACTCAGGGCCTCATGCATGCAAGGCAAACACTAACACTGAGCCACCTTCCCAGCCCTTAAGTGATACTTTTTGGATATACCTTATCAACTATAATTTTCCTATTCTTTTCCTCCTTGAATTGTGGCCCAGATTTTTCAGAAAACCTTCAAGTAACCTTTCTCTCATCCCTCTGGTAGGCTTTACTCTGAACTCCATTTTTTTTGGGGGGGGGGGGGGGGTTGGTTGTGGGGCTTGAACTCTGGGCATGGGCGCTGTCCCTGCGCTCTTCAGCTCAAGGTGAGTGCTCTACCGCTTGAGCCACAGCACCACTTCTGGCTTTCTAGTGGTTAATTGGAGATAAGAATCTCATGGACTTTTCTACCCGGGCTGGCTTTGAACTGTGATCCTCAGATCTCAGCCTCCTCAGTAGCTAAGATTACAGGTGTGAGCCACCAGCACCCGGCTTCCATTTTCTTCTTATGGTAGTGAGCACACCCTTGTTAAACTGACCAGTCCTTCCCTTGAGGAAGCCACAAGTAATTTTGGAGACAATTATTTCTGGCAGGAGACAGAGGCTAGCACATTACAGAGTAGACAAGGAGGCTATTCTTGGTGTGTTCTTTGCTTGCTTTTCACCATGTGCTAATCTAACCTTTCTCACCTAACCCTTCTCCAAATAAGGGAAGCTTAATTTTTATCCCAAGCAGAGTCTAGGCACTAGTCTATTTTCCTGTCATGTCTTCTGCCTTAGGGGGAAAAATAGAGATAGAAGAAAAAGACTCAGATTCAGCCTAAAGGCTTAATCATGTAGTATGTCATTTAACCAACAAGAATGTATCTTGGGAATATTCAGTACAGTTAAGAAAAAAAAGGTAGAAACTAACCGTTGGAGAATGGTACAAAACCAGGACTGCAAGTGTGTAGTTAGTTCTGAGTTCCCATCCTGGCTCTGTTTTGTGAGTTTGGCTGGCAAGATTCTAAACTTTATTGACAAGTGAAAAGATGATTGAACAGGAATTTTAGCTCAAAGTTATTTCTGCGAACCCTCTGAAATTTCATGTACATAACTTTATTCACATTGGCATTTTGGGGAGTGAACTCATAGCCTTCATTAAATTCTCAAAAGAACCTATGACTCAAAAATAGTTAAGAATTACTGAGCTAGAGATTCATTACATTCTCTGAATTTCTGAATATACAAATAAAATCCTAGCTCTAAAAGCTGGATGTTTGGAAAATTAGATTTTTATGAATTTGTAAGTTGCCTGGTTTATTGGTTGTATTTTTCATTCATTAATGAAATCTTTCTTAAATACCTCCTATGTGCCAGTCAACTAATAAAACTGACAAAACTGTCCACCTTAGGAGAGTTATTACATGTGGACAACACCCCCCAAAGAACATAGGTAAAATATATAGTAAATCAGTTAGGATGGTTTCTGTAGAGAAAAAAGGAGAATTTAATGCTGGTAGTTAGAACATGGTTTGTGATTTAAAATAATCGAAGAAGGGAAGGCTTGGCAAATGATAGATAAGCAAAGATCTGAAGGATATGATAGGTAAAGCCATATATTACCTGGGAGAAAAGCATTCCAAGTAGAAGGAATAGCAAGTCCTGAGGAAGCAACATATTTGAAGATGAAGAGTTCACCCTATAGGCCAGTAGAGGGCAGAGTTTACAATCAGTGAATCAGGTTTGGGATAACCTCCAGTGATGCAAATAAGTACAATCTACTCGTTGCTCAATCCTATTTTGGAGGCAAGGTTGCATCAGAGATTACTATAACAGCGCTTCTTGCATTGCAGGCCACGGAGATGCTGGTTCACAATGCCCAGAACCTTATGCAGTCTGTGAAAGAGACTGTGCGAGAGGCAGAGGCTGCTTCAATCAAAATCCGAACAGATGCTGGATTTACACTGCGCTGGGTCAGAAAGACTCCTTGGTACCAGTAGGCACCTAGCCAAACCTGGCTGTACAGAAACCCCAACTAAACAGGAGAATAATCTGAATTCCAGATGTCATAATGAATTGCTGGGGATCAAAAGCCACATCCTAGCCAGAAAGAAATGGGGGCCCTCTTTATATTAGAAAACATTTATATACTTTTGTCAGGCACACTTTGAAGCAGGTTTCCATGTATACCCTGTATTCCCAAACACAGTTATAGTTGTACACACACTCTCCCAATAGGCAAACTATTCTAGAAAGCCCATGAACTTTATGTAAACTAGGAACCTCAGATGAACACTAGCCAGAAACTCTGTTCTATCCCTACTCATTATGGGACATTTCCTTCTGTTTCCCATTCACCGGCTCTCATTTTCCTAAGTTTCCAAGCAAGGGAACAGCAAGTCAGTTAAGAAAATCACTGTGCCTCCAGAAATTGTTTTAGGTTTTCTATGTTGTTGCCGACCTTGCCTGTTTTCCTTAGGCTGTGCTACCTTCTTCCTTTTCAAAAGTAAGCTTCACAGCTACAGGAAAAGGTGGCCTCTGGGGAGTCTGGCATATATGGCCTGGATTCATTGCCTATTCTTCCAAATTTAATCCTTTTAGTTTCCCACTAGAATAATACCTGATTTCACTGTCAGGAGGAAATCCCAGAATCACAGGATTCTGTTTTTTACCAAGTCTGTGAGCAATGTCTGTATTAGGGAAATTTCCAGTCCCATCTCCTTCCAAGGTAACTGTCTCACAAACACTTTGTTTCTGGTGCTCTCTGCCACTGGAGGGGCAGAGGAGCTAAGGGTATGGTTGTGCCCATCCTCCCAGAGGGCCACTCCCGGTGCTCCATGCTTTGTCACTGCCTGCAGAGGCCTGAGCTGAGGCCTTACCATTCATTCTTAGCTCTTAACTTTTTCCACCCCCTTTTTCCTGAGCTGAAATGCTGCATTTAATTTTTAACCAAATCATGGTATATATCTTAGGCCTTTGTTGTTGTCTTCCACTATCCCTTACTAAATAAGCTTTTAAGGACACATAGGTGTGTGCTTGTTTTTTTTTTTTATTTTTTTTTGAGATGGGGGTCTTACATGTTGCCTGTGTGGATCTTGCACTCTTGTACCCAAGTGATTCTCCTGAGTCAGCCTCCCAAATAACTGGGACTACAGGTTCACACTACCCATTCCTAGCTTTGTAATTTAAAAGATTCTTTCTCTTTTTGAAATTCAGCCCTAAGAATTAGTGCTTGGTCTCCAAGAGTATTTAATGGAAATGCAACCTTTTTTTGAAGGACACTTCCTATCTAAGAGACAGTGGTATTTGCAGACTAGAATTCTGGTGCTCCTGTAGATAATGGGAAATGCTCTCCTTAGCTCCTACCTCCCTTCAACCAACTAAAAGCTGAGCCCCTAAATATGATTGTTCAAGAGAATGAGTTTTTCTCCTAAAAACAAGTGTTCAAGAGGATAATGAGTTCATTTTAATTATCACTATAGTAGTTTCCTATTAGGCAACATCAGATAGAAGGCAACTTTTCCTTTTCTTGCACTATCAGTGCTGTCTAAGCATTCCCTAGCACATAAAATCGTATTTATTCCCAAACTCAGAACCAAATGGTTCCTTCCTCTGCCCAATGTGTTAAGATTCCAACACTGAATGTGTAAATCCTGTCTTAAGTTGGTCCTATACACTTGGGCATCCTCTATTTTCTTTTAACTATTTTTTTCCAAGGCCCTCAGCATATGTTTATAGTTGCTTACCTGACATAAATGCAATATTAATGCCTTTAAAGTATGAATCTATGCCAAAGATCACCTTTTGTTTTACTAAAGATTACTTAGAGGAAATAAGGAAATCATTTGCTCTCCATGTTCTTCCAGTGTTTTAAAACACTGGTTTACACTTTATGCCAGATGTGCTTTCTCCAATAACAGTGCTCAAGACACAGTGAAGCAAAAAAAAAAAAAAAAAGCCCCTGAATGATGACTTTGAGATATCACCACTAAAAAGAACTATATGTATAACCTAGGATTTGTTATATGAAAATATTTTCTGCCTCTTCTTTTGTTCTGTTTAAAACAATAAAATGCATTTATATAAATAATGCTCTAAATGGGTATTATTTTAGCAAGACCTCTTAAGCCTATTTTTCCTTTGCTTTTAAAGATTAACCAATGAAACTAATTCTCAAGATCTGCAACTAAAGATTTTTATTTTATCTAATTAGAAGACCAAATGGAACTATGTTATAAAGGACAGCTTTGGGGATTATACACTAAGAGTAGAGGTGACACAGGTTCAGTGGGCAGAAAGCAGCTGATCATCCTGGTTGAAGAAGTCTTTCATCTTACAAGATTCTAGCTAATATTGGAGAGCATCATTGTCTTCTAAAAGCTTAAGCTGTGAAATGTGGAAGACCATTAGAAGACCATTTTATTGTTAATATTATTATTATTATTCCAAAACACAGTACAGAGCAATAAGGTTGTTAAGAAATTACCAGGGTTTTGAGACAGAGGTTGCTTTGGGGGATATATTCCTCTTCTTGTTTAAGGAAGCACCAAGTAACACATTAGGAACAGGTTTTTGGATAAAGTGGGAAAGCATTGTTTTTGCCTGATTTTCTAGATCTGAAAAGATATCATTGAAGGTGTTGTCAACTGCAACTACTAGTATTTTGCTTAGAAAAATTGCCACCTGTGTCTAAGGCTACTGAATTAGCTCAGCAACTTGAGGCTGCTTTTTTTTTTTTTTTTTCTATTTATCCCATTTGTGTTAAATGGTGCTTCCTTCCTGTTGTGTTACAGTACTTCCTCAAATCATTTGTTTCTAAGGACAAGGCTAGCATATTTCAAGGTTTTCAACAGAATCATTTAAGGATTGAACCTATCAGGCGAACTTTCCCTTTGGATAAAATGATGGGGACTCTTTCATGCAGAAAAACATTTCATTTGTTCTTAAAATCTCTTTAAGAATTTAGTTAGACTAAAGGGACTATTCTGAGATTAACTAGAATTCTGTACTTGAAAAATATTCTAATGACTATTCTTGGACCCATATTGGTAGGTGGTAGTAAAAATAGTAGTTTTGGTCACTTACCAATTCAACTGTGGCCAGACAAGTGATGTTTAAAGTATAAATGGCTGTGAACACACCAATTTGAGGAGAAAAGCAATTGGACAAGCTTTGAAGAAGCTCTCATTTCTTATGGTAGCACAGAGGAATCTGATAACTGTTCAGCATGCACTAACACTGAGGTTTAAAACTGTTCAATCAAAAATCAAGCTAAAAAAATCAATTTGTTATTTTGATCTATTTTATTGACAGTATAGCCAGAACTAGGGAAAGGACTTACTGGATTATATAATAAATACAATAACTTAATTGTAAAAGGAAACTGTGTCTACTTGGAAGTTTTAGAAGAAATTGCTGGAGGCAAGGGACTATTGGTATACATTCTTGGGTATAAGAGAAGATACAGCACAGGAAGAAAATAAATTGGACAGTCCAGATTATGGATAACTGAGATCAGGGATTCTGTAGAAAGAAAAGCAAATGTGATTGCTCTACTAAGGTAAGAACTCTGAAGAAGGATTTAGGGATGTAGCTCAGTGGTAAAATATTTGCGTTGCATGTGCAAGCCCCAGCAACAAACACACACACACACACACACACACACACACACACACACACACACACACACACACACACACACTCACTCAATTGAATTGGCTAACCAATCTTAAGCAAAGGGAATAAATAATAAATACTTAGCAACATTTTTACTTTAGCTGCCCAATATATTGGTTACTTTAGAAATTTAAAGGTTGTATTGGCTGTTGGTGACTCATTCCTGTAATGCTAGCTACTCAGGAGACTGAGATCTGAGGATCACAGTTCAAAGCCAGCCCAGGCAGGAAAGTCGATGAGACTCTTATCTCCATCTAATTAACTACCAAAAAGCTGGAAATGGCACTGTGGCTCAAAGCACAAAAGTGATAGAGCACAAAAGCCTAGGCCAAGTTTAAGCCCCAGGACTAGCACAAAAAACACCACCACAAAAACATTCTGAAAAAGTGGCCTTTCTCACTAGAAGAAAGGTAGGTTGGATGCCCCAGGCAGGAAATGCAAAGAATGATACTATACAATGGTGAGCCAACTACTAGAACTTACCAGAATAAATAGGATGAATGTAAAAAATAGCCTTAGCATAAGGGACACAGTTATAAGCTGAGAAGAGTGAAGGAAAATAATGGAGCCACAAGGAAATAAAGATAAAAAAAACAACTAGTAGTATTAAGTATAAACAAGAAGGCTTGTGTTTTAATGTTCAGCCTCCTTCATTTCTTTATATCTAGTGATTAAAATAAGTAGGCTGTGACTGCCAAGCCAATAGAATTGATAAATGTTCTTCCATGTACTCAGTACAGGAGAAATATTGAAGTACTCATTGACCATTCTGACAACAGTATGGATAGAGGAAGCCTTGGCAAGTACATAATATGGAAAGGAATTGTCCCTAAAGACAAGGGATACAGGCAAATTCAACCCTTTAAGAACAACAAAAAAGATGAAGATTAAAAAGAAACCACTGACAATAGTGAGGCAGACACATTTTCCTCCCTTTGCTGTAGGGCATGAGGCTTTTAGTCTATTGGATAAAGTTTTACAAGACATGAAAATGGCAAAGGGCTCACTTAAATTTCTCTTTTACTGCCTTAATTTGCTTCAAAGTGCAAATATTTGTGCTTGCAACAACTTCCTAAAAGCAGAAATAGTGTTTCCTTTTATTACCTTAAAAAGCACTTGCCCCTTTGATACAAATGATTTTTTTTAATATTGTGCTCTCTAACAGCTGAACCAGTGGCACAAAATTGAGATGGTATATTACTGCAGCAATGTTCTTGTAAATCAAAATCTGAGCTTTACATAAAAATCTTATTTATAAAAAATATACTACCAAGTACAGTGAGAATGGAGCGTGGAGCAGCTCAGCTCCCTGCCGGGCCATGTGTAAGTGGCTTTTGCTACAGTGCTTGCTTAATGGCACAAGTGAAAAGCTGAATAAGGCAAACACTTGAAGAGGCAGTTTTCTGTAAACTTCTTGGGGGTGGGGAAAATTTCCTGTTAGGACAGATACTGATTTGAGATAACTAAGATCAGAAGGCATAACATTCGGCTGCACCTGACATCACATAACAGAGTGATAGTTTTGCTGGATGAGCCAGTTCACTTGCTGTGGCAGAGGTCATCACTGTAGCCTTCCACCTTTACTGTTTCAGTGTGCAATACCCAACTGGTGGCCCTCTGTGTGAAAAATCACCTCCAAAATCTTCATAAGTGAAAAGATAGAAAGTCAGCTAAGTTATTAGAAAACTTCCCTTAGCTTAAAGCTCCTTAAGAACACTACATCAGTTACTAAGCAATTTTGTTAGTGGTGTGTCGCTTGACAAATGCTTCAACTAGAATATGTATTCCCACCCAATTGGTACCTAATAGTAATAGATTGTAATGACACTTGGAAAACAAACTGATCTTGAGGAATTTTGGCCTTTTCTCATGTTCTCACTTGGAACTTTCCAGCTTTTGTGACATATTTGACTCCTTTAAATGGCTTATATTTCTCTCCATACATGTCCAAACGGTTTACTTTTAAGCCTGTGTTAAAAATAATGAAACACAAATTACTATCCCCATATAAAACAATTGATTTAGCAATGAATACTGAATACTAAATCCTAAATATCAAATCTTTTCTACCATTTAGAAGCAATGTCCTTATTACCATTTATGAATTATTATATTGTAGGGATGTTTTCATTAAAATGTCTGTGTAGGGGCTGGGAAGATGGCTCAGTGGTAGAGCGCTTGCCTTGCATGCCTGAGGCCCTGGGTTCGATTCCTCAGCGCCACATAAGCAAAAAAGAAAAAAGCCGGAAGTGGCACTGTGGCTCAAGTGGTATAGTGCTAGCCTTGAGCTGAAGAGCCGAGGGACAGCGCCCAGGCCCAGAGTTCAGGCCGCACGACTGGACCTCCCCCCCCCCCCCCCCCCAAAAAAGATGTCCATGTAGGCTAATTCTATTTCCTATGAATATCACTATCCCCCTCTTTGGTGCGTAAATGAAGTGAGTATGGAGGTGAAGAAATGCTGTGTGAAACAAGGTCTCTCCCAAATCCATGGTATCTCTTAGCACCATGTAAAGGCAAACAGTTTCTCTTTCCTGATGGGAATGTTTGTTAGTCCTAATAACTGGGCTCAGCAAAACTCAGTTATCTGGGCTTGATGGTGTGGTGCAGCTCTTCTTCCTAGAGCACCTGCCTACCAAGTGTGAGGCCCTGAATTTAAACATCAGTACTCTTTAACAAAAACTCCCAAACTCCAAAGCTCAATTATCCTTCAACATCAGATTATCCTTACCTGAAATAGCAAGTTGCTGGATCTTGAACTGTATGTTGAGGCTTGGATTCTCTTCTGGCTTGGGTGCTCCAGACTGTAAATTTACCAGTCCTTTAAGACTTGGGAGCTTTTGTGGTGTAATTTTCCCCACATCCCATGTTAGTACCTTAAAAAGATATAAAATCAAAATCTGAACCATTTGTTAAAGACAAGGTTCAAAGACACTATGCACTTTATACAAAGTGAAGTAGTGTCTTGGAAACTAGGGAACATTTTATGACTATTTAAAAATATGCTTTAATCAGACTTCTCAATACTTCCCACCAAGCAGGAAGTTAAGAGAAAAATCTTCTTTTGTAGTTATTTGAAAGCTTTCTGTTAGAGGCAAGTGTAAGGGTGAGGAACCAGCTTCTCCTAACCATTATCCCTGTGGAAGAGTACTGAAATGATATGTTTAACATGCCTATAATCCTAGCTACTCAGGAGGCTGAGATCTGAGGATCATGGTTCAAAGCCAGCCTGGGCAGGAAAGTTGTGACACTCTTATCTCCAATTAACCACCAGAAAACTGGAAGTGGCGCTGTGGCTCAAGAGGTAAAGCGCTAGCATTGAGCTGAAGAGCTGAGGGAGCTGAGGGACAGTGCTTAGGCCCAGAGTTCAAGCCTTATGACTGACTAAATAAACAAACAAACAAACAAATAAATAAAAAAGGACCAAGTTACAATGATGAATATCTATAGGAATCTAGTAATTTAAATTTATTATATTTTCTGTATCCACATTTTCATAAAGCTTTTACTCACTAATTTTTGCAGTGCAGGAGATGGACCTCAGAGCCTTATGAGTATTACACATGAAACTCCCTAGCCTTGCCTTTTAACTGGAGTGGCTGGATTATTAACAGATGAGTTAAGACCCACTCTTAACTCATCTGTTAAGTGGGTCTTCTGTTCATCTACTCAACAGGATTTCTTCTAAGTCCACACACAGCAGAGTAGTCTGCTCATGGGGTTTAGAGGAGCTTTACTTTAAAACACTAACTCCTCAAAAACCATAACAACAACCTCTCCTCCCCCTAATCTGAAAATAGATTACAGAAACACTGCTCACTCTTGATTTGAAGTGGCTGTACCTTGGTGACTGGATCAAATGTATAGCTGCCTTGTGTTGGTGTCAGGTTCATATTCAGCACAACTTTTGGCATGTGAACCGTCACTGTGATTCCTTCAATAGTTTTCCCCATATTCTGCTTTGGTCCAATTGTTATATCAAATCTGCCACAGGAACTGTTCTCCTTAAAGCTGATACTATGTTTCACATACACTGGTATTGCTACTAGACTAGAAACAAAGAGAAAGACACAAAAGCACATATATACACCATGAATGACATGAAACATCTCCCAAGGTGGTCTGCAAACAGCCCTGAATATCCTGTGCTACTGCCAACTCTATGAAGTGTTCTAAACCTCTAGAACTAAAGATTCAGTATTTGCACAGGGGACAGTTGAGTATAACAAAATATCTGGTACCAGTGAGTTAGGAACTACAAGAATTCATTGCAACAAGAATAAAAATTCTAGTTTAGTCACATTAGACAATCTGGGTTGCTGGGTATGGCAGCTCACACCTGTAATCCTACCTACTTGGGAGGAAGAGATAGGATTATGGTTTCAGGTCTGATGTGGTAAAATGTTAGAGGCCTAATCTCAAAGAATAAATTGGGCTTGAGTCACCCAGTAATCCCATTTATTTGAGAGGTCTAACTAGGAGGATCCTGTCTGAAGCTGGCTTGACCAAAAATAACTGACCCTACCTGAAAAATAACTAAAGGAAAATAGACTAGACATGGTTCCATGGTTACTTGTCTAGTAGGCACAAGAACCTGAGTTTAAATCTCAATGCAAAGCAAAATAAAAAACAAACCTCAATACAAGCCAGTTGTAGCTTATTACTGTAATTCCAGGACTTGGGAGGCTGATACTGTAAGATCTAGAGTTAAAAGCTAGCCTATGGTATATGACAAGTTGAAGGCTAGCTTGGATTACATACTGAGACCCTGTCTCAGAAACAAATGTGCTAGATGTAGGTAGCTTTTATCTTTAATCCTAGTTACTCAGAAGGCTGAGATCTGAAGATCACAGTTCAAAGACAGCTTGTG